GGAGAAGGAAAAGAGATCTTGCCAAGGAAAAGCCTAGGAACACCCAAACTGATGTGAAGGTGGAATTGATGGCAGCAGCAGCTTCTTAGGTTAACATTTATAGTCATTATTATTTAATGAGCAACAAAAGCAGACCTAGGCAAGAGGCTAAGTGTGATGCTGGCAGACTAGGTGCCAGCTCAAGCCAAGGTCCCTAGGTCTCAGCTGAACCCAGATAAATACGTGGTGGGAACCAGTCTGGATTATTGGTGTGTTATTATTGTTAAAATAGGAATTAGAATTGTAAGAATGAGTTTAGACTTTATGAAATGCTTGTAAGTTGCTGCATGCACTAATCTCACTTGCAGTATCGGTATCCCATGTTATAAGGTAATATATAAGGTCTTGTTCTTGTCTACACTTAAAATGCTTCAGCAGCACAGCTGCACAACTGCAGTGTTTCAGTGTAGACACTACTTGTTGTGCCAACAGGAGAGACATTACCTATACCAATCCTGCATTTACCTTTATATTGATTGATACTTTGTTAGTGGTTGTATGAGGCTGATCCTTCTCCATGCAAATGGGAGTGTTGGTTGTTGAGGAACATAGGCCCCAGGTGGTGAGCATACATGAATGAGGAATGGGTTTATAAAAACAGTCATTACATTCACTTTCTATTTTCAGAAGCTGGTTAATATCTGAAAACAGACAGGTTAAAATTAACATGTAAAGTGCGCTCAGAGGCAAGCCAGGCAAAGCACTATTGATTCAAAACAAGTTACTCACAACACATGACCTGCATAAGGAGCTGTCAGCTTGTTTCTGTAAAATGCCATGCATCTCAAGGAGCATCTCTTCCCACTTTTCTCCACAAAACAATCCCGCATTCTAAGGCATAGGTAGTGTCTCTCCTGTTGGCACAACAAGTATCGACACTGCAGCTGCGTAGGTAGCCAGGTCAGAGCAGGTAGACAGACATACACACTAGCTCTGCTTGAGCTAGCACACTACAAATTTCAGTATCGCCCGGGTAACATTGATGGCAGCTCAGGCTAGCTGTCTGAGTACAAACCTGCCTGGAATGCCAGCTGCCCAGGCTATCCTAGCTACATTAGTTTTAGCACAATTGTACATGTCTGTCTACCCACACTGGAAAGCATGCTCCCAGCCACAGAGTAGACACATCTTAACTGTGAAGTTGTAGCAAAAAAGAGACATTGCCTGTCCCTCTAAAAATATTTTCTTGTTTCTTAAAAATATTCTAGCTGACCTACTAGGACAAACTCTGCTCTTACAGACACCAGTGTAAATCAGATGTATTGGAGCATAAGCTTTCGTGGGTGAATACCCACTTTGTCAGATGCATCCCACGAAAGCTTATGCTCCAATACATCTTTTAGTCTTAAAGGTGCCACAGGACTCTCTGTTGCTTTTTACAGATCCAGACTAACACGGCTACCTCGCTGGTACTGGAGTGTAAATCAGGTCACTCCTTTGTCAGTGGAGTGAGTGCAGATTTACACCACTGTGAACAAAAGTTAGACTTTGCTCTCTCAAGACTTTCTTAATAAAATGAAGGAAGATTTTGGTTTCTAGTCTGTTCTTCAAAAGAAGCTTTCCCCTGAGATTGTGAATTGCTTGTTCTTCTGTATTCTGTGTTTGCTATCTAGTATATATATTATTTGTGGTTTGTACAGGCTTCTGGGGGGATTTTTTCAACCTCTTGTTTGGAACTCAACCTTTTGACGGTCTCTGATTAGAGAACACATTAGGGTGTACATCCTGATTCTCTTTGAGATAATATGTAAATATTTTAGCAATAAGCTATTTTACGGTGTAACTTGAAATTGACAAGGAGGAAAGTGGGTGGGGTGAAGATTTCCCTGTGGTTCCAAATTTCCCTCAAGGGGTGTGGCTAAGGGCTGTGTGGGATCTCTTCTGTACAACATGTCAGAGTTAGTCTCTGAGGTCAGAAACACAATGTGTTTCTTTGGCAACTACACTCTGCAAGAATCTGTCCTACCTTTTACTATCTTGGAGTCCTGGAGGTGAACCTAGAGGAAGTGGTGTTGGGTACAATATCCTATTGTCTGTGAGTTGATTTTTAATTAAAGCTAACCTTGATTAGAAGGGAGATAAATCGAACTTCAGTCTTTACTAATAAAACACCCAAAAAGTATTAATTTATTAAAATGTCCATATCCCACAGAAACAATACTTATTTAAAATAACTATATTATGCAATTTCAGCAAAGGGGCAATGAAGATTTCTCAGCTACCATACTTCAAACCAGGTAGGACCTTAATTAAATATGCTATATTGCTTACCATATACAATATAGCTGTATTCTATGATGTGCCTGTTGGTTTCTGGGTTGATTTTAATGCATTGGCTTGACTTATCAAGCTCTAAATGGCCTAACCTATCTGTCCAAGACCCTGATGCAATGGACTTATTCACATGGGGAGACTCCTACTGATTTCAGTGGGGCTCAGTGTGAATGCAGGGGTCTATCCACAGGAGTGCAGCTGCAGGATCAGAGTCTGACCACCTCAGCTAGTGATATATGGGGATGCATGAGCTGGAGCCCCATTGGTAGAAAGCTGAAAAAGCCTCGCAGGGTATTCTTCATTAAGGCCCCGACCTTTAAAACACACTTCCTCTTTGGAGTATAATAGAAAGAGATGGTTAATAGGGGAGGGTTGGAGTGAGTGAGAGATTCTATTGTGAGGGGGGTTACATTAAATGTTTTGTTGTTGCTAGGTTATTGTTATCTAGGGTAACTGATGGATTGGTGGAAGTGGTTTATTTTAAGATTGTGTTTTGAAGAGCTTCAGGGTGCCCAGAACCTGCAATGGTTGTCTTATTGTGAAATAGTACAAATTTAAATAAATGAGAGGAGGAGATGAAGACATCCAGTAGAACACTGACTTTATGCATCAGCCTTTTTTTTCCTCTGGAAACTTGGGCTGAAATTCTGCTTTTGTCCCAAGTGAAGTGAGTTTGGTGGTCTAGTCTAGTCAATACTGAACATTTGCCAACATCTCAGAGAATGACATTCAACCTGGTTTGCAGAAACCAGAAAAATTCATTTAACTTCTGATATAAGTCCAGGCCTGCAAGGGTGAAAGGATAAGATTGACAGGTTGCAGAAAGGGGCTATTTTTAAAGTACATTTTACATAGAATAATTCAGGGTTCATTATACATAAAAAGGTTACTATAGGAACCTGGCAGTGCTGCTATAATTAAAGATGAGTTCTTATTCATTCCTATTATAAATTCCAGTTTTCAGCATTTTATCATCTCGGCTATTTTGATTCGCAAGGTTCTATTATACTTGTTATATTTGGCCCAAATTCTTTATTTTTAAAATGGCATTAAAGCAATGTGGAGTTTTGGAGTGCCAATAAATATAATTTGGACTTGGTTTATGGTGTTCTCCTCTCTAAGCTTCCTCATACCCTACACTTATCAAATTCAATATATTTGCTGCTGAACTGTTTTGTTCACAGTGCAGGCTTTCTTCACTGGAAACAGGCTGCCTTAAATGTGGTTATCCCTCTTGTTTCAAACAAGAACTTTGTATTTAACGAAGTTGGCTCTATTGTTTTCTCTTGATTTGTTTCATCTCTTGTCTTTTATGGTCTAATCTATAACTCTTTGATCCACTGTTTCTGCCATCAAACTATAATTGACAAGTTGACTTTTATTTTCTTTTTGGAGTTTTTCTTTAGCAATCATAACTTAACGATGGAAAACTATTCTTGACTGGTTTTGAGCAATCCTATTTTTCAGTGACTCAGATTACTGTATTCTCCCCCTCCCTTTCTCTTTGGGACAGCCTAAAAAATCTCACAACTAAGGACTTGTCTAGGGGGTAGTTCAAAATGGATTGATTAGACATGCATTATTTAACTTGCAGTATGTAAGCCACACATGAGACAGCTGTTCCTCTTTCAATCTGCATTATTGTGTACACACAGCAGCATCTTGCTGAGTACTAAGCATACGACATTCTCGGAGAGCATCCCATGTGCATTCTGGGATTTTTCTTGCTCTGCATTTTGGGATGCATAGCAGAAGCCAGGCAGGTTTCCACGGGCTTCACCCCATGCTTTCTTTCTGGTTGAGCTAGCTCTGTTTTCGAATTGCTGTCAGCCAGCATGGACCCAATAATGCTCAGCAATGCTATACTGGCAACTCAGAATAGGCAGAGGCTGCTTGGGCTGTATTTCAGCACTCAAAGCTGGATGAATTCAGAGATTTGAGCTGGCAAACTGTGTTTGGATGTAAGGGGGTTCACCAGGCAGGACAGACATGGAAAGCGGAAAGGAAAATATGTGGATGGGCATGGTGTCCTCCATGGCATGGGCCTAGATTTCTGGCTGGGAATTGGGCTCTGTTGCTCGCATCAGGATCCTCTGTCCCAGAGATCCTGGCTTTCTGGGGACAGCTCTTCACTGACCTCCTCATGCTCATCATACAATGAGTCTTACTGGCCATCCTTTGAGAGGTGGGGGAGGTTAGCAGAGTGGGCAGCAGCATCCACAACCTTCCTGGGTTGGGCAGTAGGGTAATTGATCAAAATCTTGTCCAACTCCTGAAAAAAGTGGACAGGTCACATTTCTACTGCCAGACTTTTTCCTGTCAGCCCCAATTTGAATGTAAATCCTCCTGAGCTGCTTGCTCTTTATCCTGCACTAGTCAGCATCCCAGTTGTGGCCCCTTGCAGTCATGTCCACAGAAAGATCCTTATTCCGGTGACTGGCCACAAGAGCTTCCCACCCCAACACCCCTCCCCACCTGAGTATAACTAACAGCTGACTTTGAGTCTGGGTATCTCTTACAATCCAGTGTATCACCAATAAGCACCATAAGAGAGTCACTGGTATTCACCTGATGTTAGTGTAGTAGATAGTGGATTGAATGGGCAGTTTGGAGAGCTTCAGCTAGAAGTGGACTGAAGCCCATGAATACGCCCATACTAACGATTATGCTTCTTTTTAAAGGAGAAGATGAAGCACTTCTTATTGCTTGTGTCTACGGCCTTGTTCACAACAGGTGAGTTTTCATTCACTGCATAACTCATCCATTTACAAACAGTAAAAAATGGTAATAAACTATTTAAATATGATCACCCCATGCCCAAAGAACTGTCTGTATTAACTCATGGCAGGAGAGACTATGCAAAAACTTTAAAAAGGAAGAACTTCAACACATATATTTTTTCCATATTTGTTTTACATTCTTGCTGTTAATTTTATCCTATGTTATCTTCCAGATTCTTCTAATTGCTTGGAATCTGATCTTCCATTTTGCAAGCAAATTACAGGTAAATAACTCTCTTTAGGCAATAGCCAGTTAATGGCAAGGATGAGCCCCACTGCTGAAGGAAATCCCCCAGTTGAAGTGATTGGGTAATCAATTTGGGTTTGAAATATTCATTAGTGTAAAGTTTTTTGGCTGCAATCCAATCTCCATTGGATAGGGATTTCTGAAAGTAGCACCAGAAGTTTCTTCAGAGCATGAACCTTTACTCATTGGTGTCCCACTGCAATCAATGAATTAATTCAAGGGCATGGAGCAGAGGGCTTTACTTGGAAAGATTAACTTTTTATGTTTGCAGATTTAGTGAAAAGCAGAGACATTCATGCCATTGAAATGGTTGACATATAACAACTGAGCATTACTATTGTATGGATACAACCAATCCATGCAAACATGCAGCTCTCCACGCCATGGAGTCTATAGCAATAGGGCCAGCTAGGATGACAATGTCAACCACTGAAGATTTTTGAATATTTGATAGAGAAAGACAGTGCTTCTGCATCTACTGACAAGTGATTGATATCTCATATCACAGTGATCAAAACAGTCTAATTTAGATAAACTATTTTCAACACAGTTGTTGAAGCAACTGACATGCTGCTGTTATTAATGTTACTGTCACATCTCTAAGCCTCCATAATGGACCAGGACCCTATTGTGCTAGACACTGTACAAACACAGAACAAAAAGATTGTCCCTTTCCCAAAATGCTTTTGCTGTAGGTAGAAGATGAGACAACAGATGGGGAGTGCAAGGAATCAACATGAAAGGCAGTTGTCTCAGCACCTCAGCAGCTTAACCATCGTCCATTTATTTTTGGTAGGCATTGTAGCAAAGGAGAATTTTGAGAAGGATAATGTGGTAGCTGTAGGGATGTTTACAGGTAGCTCCACCCAGCCACAAGAAGCATTATGGGAGAAAGCACAAAAGGGCTTGTTTGAAAATAAGTGGCCAATGGAGACTGACATCAAGGGTCAATCTGAGGCAGGAGTCAACATCTTGATAGTGAATGACACATAATAGGTAGGGTGGGCATTGACTGTGAAAGGCCTTGAAAATTAAGACAATTAGCTTATGTTTGGTTCCCCCTTCTCTGTTGCCTCAATGGAGAGATGTGACATGGTCAAAACGCCGAGCTAGGAAAATGATCTTTGCAGCAGAATTCTGAATGGGTGTGAATGGGGGTAAAATTGTATTTGTCAGGGCCAGAGAGAAGGATGTTGCAGTAATCAAGGTGCAATATGATGATGCGATAGGGAAGGGGGAGCCAATGGATGAAAGTTTTAGCTGTGTGGATAGATAGGAATATCATCAAAATCTTGCATAACATCTCTATGTAGCCTGGATGCAAGGCCCTAGAGAGAGGTCCAAGTTGAAGAAGACACCCAGGTTACAGGCCTGAGTGACCACCAGGATTGTGGAGTTGTCCACAGTGATTGAGAAAGGAAGTAGCAGAGAGGGTTTTGGGGCGGGAGATTAAAAACTCTGCTGAAGCCATGTTGAGCTTGAACTGACTGCTAGACAGCCATATGGAGTTGTCTGAGACACAGACCAAGATTTTAGTTTGGACAGAAGGAGACAGAACTGGAGTAGAGAGGTAGTTTAGTGAGCTGTCTGCATAGCACTGGCAGTTGAATTTGGATTTGTGGATGAGATTACCCACAGATAAGATGTAGAGTGAGAGGAGAAGGGGGATGAGGGACCGAGCCCTGTTGAACCCCCACAGACTAGGTCTGAGCTTTGCTAGGAAGGGGTCACTGAAGACTTTGGCAAGAGAGGTTTCAGTGAACTGCAAGGGATGGAAGCCAAATTGGAGAGAGTCTAGGTTGGAACTATGAAAAAATTGCTGAAAGATCTTGCTGACTAATAAAAAGAGTTGTCAAAATGAAAAAACTAGGCCATTTCCCTTTTCTCTTTTCAAAAAAGATTAGATTTCTGGTGGGAGGAGATACAGTAGAGTGAAAGTAGAAGTCATTGGATGAAACTGCAAAGGAAAATTTAAGCTCAATAAGGAAACACTTGATAATGGGATCTTTATTTGACTGTAGAATGAAGTGGTGGGAACATCGTTGTTTAAATAACTGAAAACTGACCTGATCAACGTATGGAGAATGTAATGTACAAACAGACCTGCATTAGCGGGGAGAGGGATCAGCTGAGCTAATAGCCCTTGTCCATCTCTAATTCCTATGATTCCAAGTTGCTCATTATAGTGTAATCACCTGCAAACTGAAGGCATTTTTGTAAAGCCACCAGTACTTAGACTCAGGTGATCTCCTCCACAAGCATAGGGAGCTCTTCAACACTATGGTCACCTCTTCCCTGACCCCACAAAAGCCCCATATGCATCCAGGGAATTTTGACTGGTGGGGTAAGGAGAAAGAGTTACTCTCTGCCCTTGCAAAGGTAACAGGTATCTGCACTTAAATTAATGCAGCATTAATTTAGACTCCACAGAAGCCCTTCTTTTGGGTAGGGGTGCAGGGGGATTTATGCAGGTGCAGTGTGCTTGCCCATTGGCAGAGCAACAGATGCCAGCAAATAGCATGGAGGGGCTGGCTGTAGGACTGAAGCTTCCTTTTCCTGTGAAGCTTTAGGGCCACAAGAATTAAAGGCTGCACTCCGTCTCCACTTTGTGGCCCTAAAACGCCTTCTAACTGAAGGAACAGATTCCTGGGAACATCAGAAAGTCAAATTCTTGGAGTTTTCTGGCTCCCTGCTCCTTCCCATATCCTTTGCAGTGAAGACCAATGCAAAGAATTCATTTAGCTTCTCCACAAAGGCCTTGTCTTCATTCAGTGCTCATTTATCAGCTCCATTGTCCAGTGGCCCCACTGATTATTTGGCAGGCTTTCTGCTTCTGATATACTTAAACTTTTTGCTGTTAGTTTTTATGTATTTAGCTAGTTCTTTACATTCCATCTTGTTCTACCTTACTATACTTTTACACTTGCCAGAGCGTATGCTCCTTTCTCTCTTCCTCAGTGGAATTGATTTCCAATTTTTAGAAGATGCATTTTTTGCTTCTAACCACCTCTTTTACTCTGCTGTTTATCCATGGTGGTATTTTTGGTCCTCTTACTGCTTTTGAATTTGGGATATACATGTAGTTTGAGCCTCTTATGGTGTTTTTAAATAGTCTCCATACTCAATAGCAGTTTGTAGACAATTTGCCCTCATAACTAGTTCTTTTAATTTCTATTTAACTAGCTTCCTTTGTAAACTTCCCTTTTTTAAGTTCAATGCTACTATGATGGGTGTCTTTGGCATTTCCCCCCCACCCCCACAAGGATGTTAAATTTAATTACATTATGGTTGCTATTACCAAGCAGTTCAGCTAGATTCACTTCTTGAACCAGATCCTGGTTTTCACTTAGGACTAAATCAAGAATTGCCTCTCCCCTGGTGTGTTCCAGGACTAATTGCTCCAAGAAGCAGTCATTTAATGGGTCTAGAAACTTTATCTCTGCATCCCAATCAATGAGGATAATTGAAATCTCCCATTATTATTGCATTGTCTGCCTTTGTAGTAGGGCAGTCAAATGATTAAAAATTATCAGAATTAATCATGAGATTAGAAAAATAGTCACAGTTAATCACAGTTTTAATCACACTATTGACTATAAATATTTTTGGATTTTTTTCTACATTTTAAAATATATTGATTTCAATTACAACACAGAATTCAAACTGTACAGTGCTCACTTTATATTATTATTGGTTAAATATTTGCACTGTAAAAAAATAAAAGAAAGCATTTTTCAATTCATCTCAAGCAAGTCCACTCAGTCCTGCTTCTTGTTCAGCCAATCGCTAAAACAAACAAGTTTGTTTACATTTACGGGAGACAATGCTGCCTGCTTATTTACAATGTCACCTGGAAGTGAGAACAGGCATTCACATGGCACTGTTGTATCCAGCATTGCAAGGTATTTACATACCAGATATGCTAAACATTCATATGCCCCTTCATGTTTTGACTTGTAAGTTCTAAAGTTTTACATTGTTTTGTTTTTTGAGTACAGTTATGTTTAAAAAGTCTACATTTGTAAATCTTTCATGATATGGATTGCACTACAGTACTTGTATTAGATGAATTGAAAAATACTATTTATTTTGTTTATCTTTTTTACAGTACAAATATGTGTAATAAAAATATAAAGTGAGCACTGTACACTTTGTACTGTTTTAATTGAAATCGATATATTTGAAAAAGTAGAAAAAACATCCAAAAATATTTATAGTAAATTTAAATTGGTATTCTATTATTGTTTAACAGTGCGATTAAAACTGCAATTAATCATGACTATTTTTTTAATCTAGTTAATTTGTTTTGCTTTAATTGCATGCATTGACTGTGATTAATTGACAGCCCTAGTTTGTAGCATCTCTAATTTCCCTGTTCATGTCAGTCACCCTCACCATTCTGGTCAGATGGTCGGCAGTATATTCCCACTGCTATACACTTATTGTTCAAGACTTGTTTCTATCCATAGAGATTCTGTGGTACATGGTTTGATTCATTTAAGATTTTTACTTTGACTCAATGCTTCCTTTCACATTTAGTGCCACGCCCACACCAGCACAACCTATTTTGTCATCCCTATATATTTTGTACCCTGGTATCACTGCGTCCCATTGATTATCCTTATTACACCAAGTTTCTGTGATACCTATTATATCAATATCGTCATTTAATGCCAGGCTCTCTAGTTCACCCATCTTACTATTTAGACTCCTAGCATGTGTATATATAACACGAACAGATCCCGGTCGTCAGCGGGTGGGATCAAACCTGGGACCTCTAGTGCATGAGCCTCTACTATATGAGCTAAAAAGCCATCTGGCTCTTAGATAAGGCTGTAGAACAGACTCATTAATCTCTCTCTCAGAGGTCTCTCGGTCCACTAGATGGGACAGAAAACCATGCCCAGGAGGTCAGTAGCGTAGCTGGGAGGGGGGGGGAGTGGCTGCTCCCCCACCAAGCACAAGTGGCGCCTTTTTAATTTTACTCACCCGGGAGCGGGAAAAAAAAAGGCGTCCCCCGCGGCAGTGCTTTTACTGACGGGGCGGCGCTCTGGGTCTTCGGCGGCACTTCGGCAGTGGGACCTTCACTCGCTTCGGGTGTCTTCGGTGGCACTGAAGCTTCATCACCGAAATGCCGCCGAAGACCTGCAGAGCGAGTGAAAGTCCCTCTGCCGAGGTGCCGCCGAAGACCCGGAGCGCTGCCCGGTCAGTAAAAGTGCCGCAGCAGGTGGCGCCTTTTTTTTCCACTCCTCCTCTTCTCTCCACCTGGCTGCGCCACTCCAGGAGGTGTGTGGGTTACATACTGCTCCTAACTGAGGAAGCGTGTCCCAAGCTTCAGAGACTTCCCAGTTGAAATCCCAGATGAGCCCGCACTTGTAACACTGACACACCCTGGTCATTGGTGGGATTGAACCTGGGACCTCTGAAGCTTAGTGCATGAGCTAAAAGCCATATGGCTCTTAGCTAAAGCTGTAGAACAGACTCATTTTCTCTCTCTCTCTAAGTGATCTCGGTGCCACTAGATGGGACAGAACACCTCACCCAGGAGGTGTGTGGGTTACATATACAAGCACTTGTATATTGTGAGTATTCAGTTGCTTACCTTCATGTGTTCTATTTAAGTAGGACTTTTACATTTGACTGTTCCTCAGTAGCTCCTACCTGTACTTTACCAACTTCTCTCCTATCCTCTTTACTAGGATATAGAGTTCCCCTTTTAATAAAAATTCATCCCTAAGGGATGTCTCTGCCTGAACCATGTTCTCATCTGTATCTGTTGGCTTTCTCCCACCCCTTAGTTTAAAAATTCTGTATAACCTTTTAAATTTTACATGCCAGCAATCTGGTTCTGTTTTGGTTTAGGAAGAGCCCATCCTTCCTATAGGCTCCTCTTTTCTCCAAAGCCTCCCCAGTTTCTAATAAACCTAAATCCCTTCTCCCTACGCCATCATCTCATCCATGCAGTGAGACCCTGCAGTTCTGCTGGTCTTCCTGGCCCTGTGCTTGGAACTGGAAGCATTTCAGAGAATGCTACCATGGGAGTCCTGGACTTTACTCTTACCTGGCAGCTTAAATTTGGCCTCCAGGCCCTCTCTTCTACCTTTCCCTATGTCAGTGGTACATATGACCGTGGGCTCCTCCCCAGCATGACACAAAAGTCTATCTGGATATCTCATGAGATCCACATCCTTCACACCCGGCAGGCAAGTCACCATGCAGTTCTCCCAGTCATCACAAACCCAGCTATCTATATTTCTATTAAGTAAATCCCCCACTCTGCTACCTGGCTCTTCCTAGTAACTGGGTCCTCTCCTTCAGTGGGTAGCCTCAGTATGAGGGGATATCATGACATCATCTAGAAGGAGGTCCCAGCTATGGAATCATTTCCCTCTGCTCCAGCTTTGTTTCCTTCCCTGAGATTTTCATCCTCCTCAGCAGTACAGACGCTGTCAGACTGGGGGTGGGACCGTTCTACTGTGTGTCTGAAAGTCTCATCTACGTACCTCTCTGTCTCCCTTAGCTCTTCCAGTTCAGCCATTCTGGTCTCAAGAGCCCGTACTCAGTCTCTGAGGGCCATGTGTGCTTGCACTGAAAATACACACACGTCACCTGCCCACAAGGCAGGTAATTGTACATGCTGCATTCAGTGCAATAAACTGGTTAGTTCTGACTTCTGCCAGTATTATTTTTACTCTTGCCGGGTTTGTTTGTGACCTAAGTTTAGAGAATGTTAGGTGTAGAAGATTGATTTTGTTTGGTTTTTCTCCTCCTTTCTGTGTTTCTTTTCTCGAGGGTTTTCTGGAGTAGTTAGGTTAAAACCCCTCAGCCTCCTCTTCCTGCCACTGAACTGTCTCTGCTGCCAAACTCTCCTTGGTAGCTCACTCTGTCCCAGGGCCCTCTCTGCTTGAGAGCGGGACCTAGAAGGAATGCCTCTCTGAACTCCCTCACATAACTCCCCTGTTTGCTGCTGGTGGTCACTTAGGAGCTGGCTTTTTAAACCCCTGTTCTCACTGAGGTACGATACCTTGACAAGGGCATGGGGCTAACGGGCTTAGGGATCAAAGAATAGCACACTAGAGCCTCATTAGTAAGCTCTCAGCCTAGCCTAGCTGGCCACTTGGCTCAGCACACAGCCCCCACAACAGATCACACCATGCTCTAAAATGTACCTAGTTTGCGTTGATGTAGTTAATTTCAAACAAGTCTATATTAACCTGAACTAGGTTCATTTTAGTATATACCAGCAGGGTCTAGATGGGCAGTTAGAGCACAGCACACTTGTGTGCTTTACAAATCACAACCTTCTGGTGCTCTTTGTATAGACAAGCCCTAAAGTGGTTGGGTTTTAAGTAATTCCTGAATGTAGTCCTAATTGCATATATGTCTGTTTTGCTCAAACACTATCATTTTGAGAGGAAATCCCACTGGTTAATTAAGAAGTTGTATCCCAGTTCACACTTGTTGCCTTTTTATTTTGAGAGTTGCCTTCCTCTTGTTAATGGGGTATTATAAATAGATGTCCAAGATAGGCCTTCACTATATAGTGTGATTGCTTATTTAGTTTGCTTTCATTTTGCAGATTGGCATGGCGAACTGACTTGCTACACAGAGAGAAAAATAAGTCTATTTTGCTCCTGGTTGCCTGTCCCCTGTGCTCCAAAAACTACTACTTATACAATAATTTTAAAGTGGTAAGTTTGAAAGACATTTCAGAAAGTCTGTCATTGTTACTTGGTGTGATTCTTTCTGTCCTGACTTAAGTTCTCTCTCCTATATTAGACAAGCAATCAGATTCAGGACAGTTAAATACTGAAGGTCAAAGTCTTCCCTCAGATTTTGTACTCACATGTAATACCCACTGATTTCAGGGGGAACCGCATTTTAGAAACAGATGGGAGAAATTGGTGTGGAGGATGAAAAAGATTCAAGGCAGGTGGGCTAGTAAGCAGTGCAGAAGCATACAGGACCTCTGCATAGATGGCTCTGGCCTCCACCAGTTTATGTATCTATCTCAACATTTCCTATAGAGTCCACCACACTAGTATCTAATTTCAGTAAGTAAAGGGATTAACTGCTCTGCTAGTTCCATAGGGGAAGGTGCGGGTGACAATCTCTTCCTTGTTGGGGACAAATCAATGGAAATGCCATGAATATGATCTCACAGGTTTCTTGTCCCTTGCAAAGGTTCTTCCTCCTTTGGGGACAACCTGCCCATGTATATTTTTTTAAGTAGTAGTAGAAAGCAGCAGTACCAGTTAGTAGTTGTACTGGGGAGGAGGGGGAAGTAGTGGTCTGAACTGTGATGTGATTTTTCACCATACCGGGGGGGGGGGTGACACGTACACCATTTGCTTGTTTACATTTACAAGAGCCGTGGTTAGGAGCATACATCCTAATGCTGTGTAAATGGCTGTGCATTGAGGAATTCCCCTGGTCCCACTGGGGCCAGCGACCAAGAGAATAATCTCTTACAGGCTGGTCTGGCAGTGGAGGTGCTTGGCAGCTGCAGTGCTTCTCACTGACTCCTGCACTCTCCCATTCTGTGAAGAATGGCTGGTGGATCCACCCTATGGAGGATGCACTAACTCCACTCCAACTCCTCCCCTGCCCAGCTCAGTCTCCAAAGCGCCTCTATTCCCTGGAGTGCTGGGAACCCTTTTGGAGCACAGACTTGTGTTGAGAACTCATTGCACTTGCCTTGACCCAGCAGAAGCACCAAATCTGTTGCACTCTGTAGCCGTGCAGAGCAGGCAAGTCTTGCCTATCATTTGCCTCACTCCTTGCTGAATGTGTGTTTCTACATATGTAGTGGATGTGAGTATTCCAATGGCTCCAGAATACCCCAGCCATCATCAGGCCCCATTATGCTAGGTGCTGTATATACACATAGCAAGAGAGAGATCCTGCCCTGAAGAGCTCACATTCAGAAGAGAGAAAGGAGATGAAGGGTAGGAAGAAGAGATACAGCATACAAGCAGAAGACTGAGAACCAAGACACAAAGAGATTGTGACTTTTCCAAAGTCACAGAGAGGGACTGTGGCAGAGATAGGATTTGAGCTCCCAAATTCTAGTCCAGAGCTCTTAACAAGAAAATATTCTTCCTTTTTATTGGGTTTTAAAAAAGCATTTGCTTAAGCCAAGCTGAGGACATTATTGCTTTCTGCAATTAACATCAGTTGGAAATTGGAAGAGTACTGAATAGGATTTAGCGGTCATGAAGGAAGAGATTAAAGAAAAACCTCACACAGATGCTCTAGCTGTGCACTCAAAAAATCATGCTTTGAAACATTAACGGCTAATCTACAGCTAAGATGACTTAAAAGATGCAGGAGAAAACCTTGAAACGTTGTTCATGTATTAAATATTGCATTGTGAGCACATATTGAATTCTAAAAAATCTGGTAGGTAAGTAATATCACTAGCCATAAAATAAATATTCCATTTTAAAAACAGTGAGACTGCACACCTTAGCTGTACAAAGTCTCCTGTCCTCAGTGTGCAGGTAAGGATGTATAACCTTTTAGGGGATATGAGATAAAAAGATAGGATGTTCCACAGTGTTTATCTCCCATTTTTGCTTACATGCCAGGAAATTCTATTAAAAGCTGTGTTTAAGTACCATTAAGGCACCATGGTTAAATCACTCAGAGGTCAGGAAATGCCAAAGTAAAGGTTTGTCCATAAAGTTAATCTGCCCCCTTGTGTATATGCATTATAATGCAATTTTTAATTACATCACATACTATTTCCCAAATAATGCCCTGTACTATTGTGATGGTGCTGCCCGTGGGAGCCTGCTGAGGTCACTCAATTAGGGTGAACTGCAAACAAAACAGGGCAGACAAACCCCAAAAGCTGGTGGATATTCCAATACTTAGATTTCCCAAGCCAGCACAAAACGGCTTCTATAGTACCTCACTGCTTACTCAGAAGTCCAAACAACACAATTCCCTTAAATTACCCAGCCTCAGGCCTCCGTCCAGACACACCTGTTAGATGATGATGATGATGATGATTACTGAAAATCTTATCTCATCATATAAAAGAAAAGGTTCTTCCAACCCCAAAGGGTTAGCCACATACCCAGGTTCAATTATAACTTAGATCTTACCCAAAATACACGCTTAAAGCCAATTCTTATTAATTAAGCTAAAATTTATTAAAAAAGAAAAGAGAGAGAAAGTGTTGGTTAAAAGATCAATATACATACAGACTTGAATTCAATTCTTGAGGTTCAGATACATAGCAGAGGTGAGCTTGTAGTTGCCGAAAATCCTTTTAGAAATAGTCCATAGGTTATAGTCCAATGTCCATATTCAGGGTGGCTCCAGTCAGTGACTGAGGATCTCAATCCTTATGGCTTAAGGTTTCCCCCTCTTGAAACTCAAAGCAGATCTGAGATGAAGCAGGATTGTGTCCCAGGGTTCTTATACATTTCCAGCAGCCTTTTGGCCTGAGAAAACAATAGGCTTAACTCTCCTTCTCCCGAACATCCTGGCAATTAGCACAGGGTAATTTATCTATCAAACAGTTCAGATACAGGTTACCACAACCTTCAAAGAGACATATAGACAATAATACTATTTCACTCAAGTGTCATCATAAATGTTAATATTCCTTTTTTGATCTTTGAATTAAAGCTATAGCAATAGACAAGACTTGTTTGCTTAGATCACAAGACCTGAGCAAACACCTACCCTTCTATCTCTAACAATGCAGACTTGCATTTCAAAGCTCTATTCATTTACATATCTCCCTAACCAGTCTCTAAAGTTCAGCCATGGGTCAGGTCAGTCTGCGAGGTAATTAACTCTTTTCTGCCCTGTCACCTTTCAATGAGATATTATATTACACTCATAACGTCACAACTATAATATACAATTATTTTCTACAGCCATGGTTACAGATGTAACATTTGCAGAACTTTGTCCTACACTGCGACTGTCAGACAAAAAGGCCCAAATCCTCAACTGTGCTGGGGCCACTCCACCTGCTTTCATTTCCCCAGCAAAGGAGAAACATTGGGTTGTTTAGAGACACCACAATGGCTCCTGCACCAATCTCCCTTTCTGGTCCCACCAATGGAGTCATGGCTACAGTAAGGGGATTTGGTGGAGGCAGTTCCTGGGTGCCTCAATGGCCCATAGGCGCTACTGACAGCAAGCACAGTTTAGGGCAGTCTTCAGGCTGTTTTAATTTATGCCAGGGAACTAGCCTGGCACTTAGCTAGCACATGATACCTTCCCATTCCTCCTCCTGAAAAGCATTGAGACCATAATGTATTAAAATCATTCCTATACCAGGTATGTGAAAGAGTTTGATCCTGAGGACAGTGGCAGTTGAGAACCCTCTGGATCTTGCAAGTTTGATCTGTAACTAAATAAAGGTTCCTGTGGAGCCCTGCCTCTGCACCTGACAAGATTCACCTTACAAAGTTGTGGGAAAAGTGATATATCTGAGAAACCATGTGATTCAGATATGTGTGGGGGCAGAGTTACTGTAGAGCCTCAAGTGGGGGCAGAGACTGTAAAGCCTCAAGTGTTTGTAAAGTTCATGTAGGGAATCTCAAAGTAAGGCTAGCATTATTTTATTTGCATTCATATTCAACAAAAATTACATGTCAAATTTGTAAAGACACTTAAATCTGGACATAAATAGAATTGCTTGGTTACCAGTGTTACATTCATTGGTCTGGTTCAACTGGATTGCACTGTAGTGATAACTGGGGCCTTCTGAGCCTAACTGAGGGAAAGTGGATAAAAGTTTATAAAGTATCACAATAAATTAACAATTAATGTGGATGGACAAAGGTTCAAAAAGGAATCAGATTAAATTAATCTAAACAAAAAGGCCTACTGATATAATTCAAGAACTGTGTTAAGATCATATCTGGTAATCAAGAAAAGCGTGGGACCAGAAATTAATGAACCAATATTGGTGTGTTGGAAGTGAGGCCTAACAGAATAATGAGGGGGTGGGCTATTCTGCCCATTACTACTTTTGGGATTCCTCAAAAAGATTTTTTTGGGAAAGCTAGAAATGAGTGAAAGATGAAAAACACAGGAAGAAGCAAGCTTCTCCATCATTTCTGACCACCCATGGTCTCCTGGGACTACGAGATCCACTGTGATATAATTGGGTCTTTTTCATCCTAATCTTGAGAGATGTCCTGACCAGAGACAGAGACCCAGATGACACTCCCACCAGTTCTGGCAAAATTCCAAACAGCATCTGTGATGTGAAACTTTGTCACTTCCTCCCATATGTCCTTTTTCCTTCCCTACCATATTTTTGACTCTTTCCTAGCCTTCTTCCTTTGCATTCTGTTTAATAAGAGTTAGGGTTGCCAACTTTTTAATCACACAAAACCAAACACCCTGGCTCCGCCCCTTCCTTGAGGCCATGCCCCGGCCCCACCCCTACTCCGAGGCCCTGCCCCCCCCCAGGCACTACATTCCCCCTCCCTCGGTGGCTCGCTTTCCCCCACCCTCACTCACTGTCACTGGCTGTGGTGTGGGAGGGGGTGAGAGCTCTGTCTGGGGGTGCAGACTCTGGGGTGGGGCTAGGGATGAGGGGTTCAGGGTGCGGGGGGGCTGTGGGTTGAGGCAGGGGTTTGGGGTGCAGGAGGGGGCTCCAGGCTGGGGGGTGGGGCAGAGGGGTTCAGGGTCCGTGAGGGGGCTCTGGTCTGGAGCAAGGGGTTGGGGTGCAGGGGAGGTGAGGGTTCTATCTGGGGGTGCAGGCTCTGGGGATGAGGCGGTTGGGATGCAGGAGGGGGCTATGGGTTGGGCGGGGCTCAGGGCTGGGGTAGGAGCTCGGTGTTGGGGCTTGGGCTTACCTCAGGCGGCTTCCAGTTAGCTGCACAGTGGGGTGGCTAAGGCAGGCTTCGTGCCTGTCCTGACTCCACACTGCACCCCGGAAGCGGCCAGCAGGTCCAACTCCTAGGCAGAGGCATGGCAGGCGGCTCTGCGCAATGCTCTCACCCACAGGCACCGCCCCCATAGCTCCCATTGGCCATGGTTCCCAGCCAATGGGAGTGCAGAGCCAGTGCTTGGGGCGGGGGCAGTGCATGGAGCCCCGTGGCCTCCCACCTAGGAGCCGGACCTGCTGGCTGCTTCTGGGGTGCAGCACAGAGCCAGGCCAGGTAGGAACTAGCCTGCCTTAGCTCCTCAGCACTGCCAACCGGACTTTTAACAGCCCAGTCAGCAGTGCTGACCAGAGTCACAAGGGTCCCTTTTTGACCGGGTGTTCCAAAAACCAGACACCTGGTCACCCTAATAAGAGGCTGGGTTAGCCAGCCTAAACTGCAACAAACCCAAAGAGACAGTTAAAAGCAATGTCCTAAACAGCCCAGCACTGGTATAAGTTTGCCAGGTCTTGGAGTGGCTGATAGTGTGCCTTGCCTGAATTTTTTCAGCAGTAAGATTACAAGGAAAAGTGAGCACCAAAATCAGAAGCTGCATTTTCTGTCTGCTGTTTTCTTCTTTCCCCATTTGTATGCGGTTGTCTTGTTTTGTTTTCTAGGAAATGGGATTGGATGTTAACAGCGACAACAGCTGCTCCAGCCCATCTCAACTAAATTTCTCTTTCCCAAAAAAGGACCATTATCACCATCTTTAATACCATCTAAAAGACTGTCAGACAAGCAGTTTTTCTTTATGAAAATGTTCTACAGTTAAAGGGAAAGGGAACAAAGGATATTATTAAAATATAAGCTTTATTACTTTGTTACAAATTCAAATGCTTTAACTTCTTTTTGTATCTTTGGTAACAGGTTTAAAAGATTTTTAAAAATCTCTTTGCCATGGTACTAAGCAGATTGAGGTGACTGAATTCCAAGCCTGAACTTTATTTAAAATTGTTTAATATTGGACAATAACAGGGTCATGTTAACACCACTAAGTCTTTGGGCCCATATATTCCACCAAAATTAATACAAGTCTACACCTTTGAGATTGCCTTTTAAAGTTGTTGTGTGTGTTCTAACTGCCCCCCAAATTCACCAGTTGTCATATTGCTGCTTTAATGAGTTATAGTTCAGTAATGTTTATTTTAATGCTCTTTGCTTGAAGGGATAAAATCTCAAAACCTTTTGCAAGAACTACAGCATCAACGTCCATCACAATAGAACGAAAATTCCTTTACATGAATCGTGCTGTAATTATTTGGGTATCAGCAAATTACTCCCATGAGAGCTGTGTGAAAACAAAGAACATCTCCATTATACCCAGCAAGGCAGGTACAGTGCCTCTAATATGGTTCATTATTTGTATTACCATTGCATCTAAGATGCAATAGTTTGGCTAAAACTACAGTATAATTTTATTAAAGTTTGGATTTATTTGCTAAATTGTAACTCTTAGTATAAACTTCTTACCACCAAATCAAATAGTTAAACCATAATTTGGACCTCTGGGGTGAAATCCCCACTCTAGTGATGTTAATGTGGGAAGGATTTCACACCTGGAGTGTTTGCGAGACTGTAAAGGAGCAATATCCAGAAACATATACATCAACACACACACACTACGTAGGCTCTTATTTTGTTTGCTGGCTTTCTGAAGGGGGGGCTGGTTCAGCAGCCTGTGTTTAAGGAAATCTATATAGTTAGAATCTCTGTGTGTTCTCAGTCCTTTTCCAGGTTTTGGTCTGTTTCTTGGGCCACTAAGGGTATGTCTACACTTAAAAAAAAAGGGGGGCCTGGGGCGGAGGGGGTGTGTGTGCAAGCCATGGCAGTGAGTCTGAGGTCAGATCTACAGACTCTGGCTCACAGTGCTCACACTACAGTGCTTAAAAATAGCAGTGTAGACATTCTCGCTCAGGCTTAGAGACCCACCCTGCTTGCTGGGTTTCAGACCCCCAGTGGGAACATCTATACTGCTATTTGTAATGTAGTGCCTGCACAAGTCTGTAGACCCAGGTTCTGAGTCTCGCTACAGTGGCTTATTTTTTGGGGAGGGGGCAGTGTAGATCTACCCATTGGGTAAGACCAAGTCTGATTCAGGTTTGAACTCAAGTCCCCCGTTCCATCCACACACAAATCAGTCTGACTTGGATCAGCAAACACCCAGGACCTGGGTCCTATGACCCTGCTATAGGGCTCGGTCAGAGCCAGAGTCCTACTGTGACTGTAGTCCAAGCCCTGCCATTTTGCAATGTGGACACAGTGGGTAGAGCATTTTCCTGAGAGGCGGGAGAACCCTGTTCAAATCCTCTGCCCACAGCTCAAGCCATAGACCCAAGTCAGTCAGTCTGTGTAGTGCAGTATGGCCACATTAGCACAGCTGAGACCTGGGCCCAGCAATTGTAAGCCCAGGTTTACAGTGCAGTGTGCATGCTCGGGTGTAGCCTTGGAAACCAAGCCTGGGTCCCACAGACCTGGGTTTACAATGCAGTGTAGACATACTTAAGTTAGTTACACAATAATTTTATATAAAAGGATACCACCTGGTTACAAATGAGATATCAAGTCCTGTTCTTCCGATTAGGTATTTATAGTGAATTCACCATGGTATCCAAATATTGCTCTAATCCTCAAGTGCTGCCCAAAGACACGGGCTCTTCTAGGAGACATGGGATTGGAGGTGGAAGGGAGAACAGAGTCCTCACTACTGCAGCACCCTACCAGAACCACTCCACAGCTGCTACTCTAGCCTCTGTTGGGGGCCTTTGGCCACCTTACATGTGTTAGGTTATGTCTACACTTTGAGCTGGAGGTGTGATTCTCAGTTCAAGGAGACACCCGTGGTAGCTCTCAATGAGCTAGCACACTAAAAATAGACTGTAGCCCTGACAGTGAGAGTGGTGGGAGGTGCTGCCAGTCAGAGATGCTAGATATGTAGTCTGGGCAGCTAACCCTTCCCATCACTTGCACTACTGCAACTACATTCTATTTTTAGTGTGCTAGCTAGCTCAGGTACTTCTCCTGGAGCTGGAATCACACCCTCAGCTCCAAGTGTAGCCATAACCTTAGAGAAAAAGAAATTGTACTTGAAATTACACCTCTGACATACCCATAAAATACAGAAGCAATTAGAGTTCAGGATAGTCTTTTTAAACAGCATTATTGCTGGTGCTGTAGACGTTCTGATTTGAGGATTGTGCCACTCATGCTGACTTTGAATGGTGTCTGATACCATCAGTTCTCATTGAAATCAACAGGACTACCTGCAGAGAAAGATCTTACCCTCGCTGAGTAAATGTGCCAGAACTGGGCCTTTGTCTCATACTGCAAAATTTTACTAATGAATTCTTTCTGGATTTTGAAGATTTAAAATCAACATATTTAGTACTGAACAAACAGAAGGGAGAAAAAATTGTATTTATCATTGGTTTCCTGCTGTGTGTGTGTGTGTGTGTATGTGTGTGTTTACGGCTTCTGCATTGTTTATTTTAGAGAAGTGTGCTATACACTCCATAAGTGCTCACCAGTTATCAAACAAATTAATAATTAAGTGGGACGCACCAAAAAAGTCTATGCAATATGAACTGCAATATAAAGAAGCACGTCCAACATCCTCACAGTGGATATTGGTGAGTATATGAAGATAGATATCAATTTAAAAGATTCAGCTGAATATTATTGGTTCTACGATACACAGCACTGTTCTGACAAGACCAAAAAATACTCCCTGTTAACCACCATTTCAATTCTGTTAAGATGTCCCAGGCTGTGGGACAGATCCTAAGCTAGTGTCAATCAGAATAGCTCTGTTGACATTAATGAAGCCATGGTAAATTACATCAGCTGAGGCTCTGACCCTACATTGTTAATGGCTAATTTCAGCTTGACAAAAAAGTGCCAAATGTTGCAACCTCTGCTCATGCTTAAACCCCACCTCTTAGACACACATTACATTTTTAAACTGGTGTTCAAGAAATCAGATACACAAGGCATTTTCAGTGCCAGTGCAAAAGCTAGCTTAGCATTTTGAGCATTCACAACTCTTATAAAAAATCAATCTCAAAAGTTGCACATGTGGCTTGAGGACTTTGAATGTATTACCTCACCTCTTCCATGTGCCTCAGCTTCAACCCCAAAGAAAGTGGAAAGTCTCTAACTCTTTCCATGATTCTGTATTTTCCCCCAAATCAACTTTATTAATAGAAATATGTTACAAAACAAAATATTGTCTCCTAAAAATGCTTCTGCTCACTGTCGTAGCACTAGAGCAAAAGCTAGCCACCTAATTGCTTTTATTCATAATTATCGCAAATATTTTCATGGCAATAAAAACTATAATGGAGAGTAGTAAGGAGACTTTTAGGCCCAAATTTTCAAAAGTCCATCTCTGCCAACTATGTACATTGCCTGTGTGATCACTGTAATTGTACTACTATTAACATACTACAAATTAGCATTGAGGCACTAAGTATGTGCATGCAGTTTTGAAAATTTTTGAGCCCAATGTGCATTTTTAATACTTCATTTTATCTCATTTTCTAGCTCTTTTGAGCTCCTAAATGAGGCCCCAACTCAGTAAAGCTCCTAAGCTTGTGCTTAAATCCATCCTTGGTCACAAAAGTACTTAAGCTTATGCTTCACTTTCAGTACATGCTTGAGTCCCATTGAAGTCAATGGGACATAAGCACGAGCTTAACTTTAAACATGTGCTTAAGTACCCTTCTTGAATGAGGATACTTTCCTGAAATGGGACCATAGTACATGCCTTGAGTATCTAATGGTTCTCAAAGTGCTTAGGTGCGTAAGTCCCAGACTTATGCGCCACTGCAATCCCCAAAACCCCACCAAACCCCCTAGGTGTCTACACTCACTCAAGTACCCTAGGTGCCTATGTCTCTGACTCTGAGCATACACAATGCTACCTCACTCGAGGTGTCTGAATGCCTAGCTCCTGCCTATGCCCCAGACCGATCCGCAAAGCGGGGGAAGATAGGTGCTCCTCCTTAGTCATGCGCAGGGCCCAATCCAATAGGCATGCTCAGATGCTGCCTACTGGATCAGATCCCATTCAATATCTGGCATCCTGTTGGAGCTGGGAAACTGGATCCTGGGACCTCCCAGGTGGATGACCTCACCACTGAACTATACAGTCATTCACTTTCTCTCTCTCTTGCCCAATGATTGTTCCACTATGAATAAATACTTAAGTAGTCACTGGGCCAGAAAGAGAGCGAATGAATGTTTCTATAATTTAGGGTACAGTCCCCCTGTTCCAATCACTAGTTAGTTATACACAGTAGAACACTTTCACCAGAAGAAAGTAAGAAACACTATGTCAGAATATCCCATAGCTCAGTGGGTAGAGCATTTTCCTGAGAGGCGGGAGAACCCTGTTCAAATCCTCTGCCCCACTCAGGCAGAGGGAAAAATGGAACCTGAAATGCCCACATCCCAGGTGAGTGATCTAACCATTGGACACTACTGCCTCCAGCCATTTTGTAAGGAACAAGTCAGGCTTCTAACTCTGTCCCAGAACAAATGACTAAGACACCTAAGCCACCTGATTCCAGGAGAGGCGTTCCCGTTTGTGGATTACTGGCAGAGATAGGTGTCTCCCTGCAGCCTCTGAGAGAGAGATGGAGCTTAGGACACTGCCCTCTTAATGGCATCTCCCATTGGCTAGCTTAAGCGGCTCCCTGCCTTGTGTGCTGGCTTTTGTGGCTTGCATTCTAAGGCACTTCTCTTCCCCGTTTGTTATACAGGGAGCCCAGGTGCCTGATTCAGGCTTTTGTGGATCACAGTGTTGTTCTTGTGATTTTCTAAGTGCCTAAAAGTTAGGTGCCATGATGTTTAGCATTGCAATACCTACATCTCTTTGTGGATCTGGGCCTTAGTGACTCCTGTATGTTGGTGAGTACCCTTAACTTCCATGGAAATTAAAGAATTGGGCCCTTAGAAAGGAGAGCAATGATTACAGAGTATAAAATTATTAAAAGGGAACTTTAGTTTAATGATGCCAAATATTGTTTAAAATTTGTTTGTTTGCAGGTGCCCACAGCAAACGATGCTGTCAATGTGACTGTCTCCGATTTAAACAGTACATCTTCATATGTTATTCAGCTCAGATGCTTACCCAGTGAGGATCACCACTGCGTTTGTGTTTGGAGTAAAGAGATTTTAGTCCCTCATAGTACGTGGCATTTCATTTGGTTGTTCTGGTGATTGGTATAAATCAGTTGTTGTTGCATAAAGTTATGTAATATTTATAGATTGGAAAATATTAAAATCAAATTATGAGACTGGGTTTCCCCATCCTTCTCTTCTTTAGAGCTGATTGACAAGCCAACAATTTCAGCAAATGAAACCATAGAAATCTCTCCAGGAAGAATAAATGTTTTTCTTCAGTGGCAGGTAATGTATTTGTTATTATTATGGATATAGCAAAAAAGTTAATCATTTTGAGTGACACAGGGGATTTAGTTCATTATATTGAAATGTCAGCAAATATTCTTATGCAAGTAAAACTATATTTGAGTATTGCGATCTTGTTAACCTTTGCATCAGCAATTCCTAGCACTATATATATAAATTTGTACAGTCATGGTCTTAGAGAAGAGTGAGCAAAACCCCTTTGTAAACTTACAAAATGATTGACACAGCAACATCTGAACTCTGGACATTGGCTTAAATGAAGTATCTTTCCATTCTACACTAAGTATTTGTAGGAGCTGGATTCTCAAGTCTCTCTCTCACAATCACCCTCACACTTCACCTTGAAAGATTCCTTTAGGCAGAGACACCTGAGGCCGTAGAGCTAAAAGACTCTTTGTCTCACATATTCATAAGGTGTCATCTTATTCTCAAATGGAACTACAGCTTTTGAAGGAGCTCCACTCTAGGAATTCTGAAAGCAACTTCCAAGTTTATTTATTCAAAAATCTAGATACAGCATAGGTTATGAGGCTTTTGCTGACAAAAGAATGTCTATTCACCGTGCAGAGTGCTGCATATTCACCATAATGCCATTAAAACTTCAGAAGCTGAAATCTGGAAGTGTCCCTTCTTCCATAATGGACATCATGATCATCAATTGACAGACTACTGTACATCAGCCATTTTTGCTGAATTAATGATGTGAAGGTTTCCTGACAAAGTGAGCACATAAAAAGTGTGAGGGAAGTAAATCCGACAACCTTGAGTTCACTGCCAGGGGGCTCGCAGGACATTTTGATGACCAAGGAGCTATTATAGACTTCAAGGCCTGTGGTCTTCATGTAAAGACTCTCTATCTAAAACCAGAGGGAAAAAGAGGGCTTCCAATTCTAAATCAAAGGGGGCTGTCATGAGTGAAGCCAAGAGACCAAGTCAGAATCAACAAAGACACCCATATCTGTATGTGAAGTGATCTATCAAAAGGGACATTTTGCAACAATCTGCTGAAAAAAAAGAAACTTCTTAGGATGAAGCTAAACTAGAAATAAAATTATTCCTCTTACAGTAATGTTGTAAATTGTACATACTAATTCCAATATCAAACTGAAGGAAGAAATCATCTTTAGACTGAGAGCTTGAGTTAGAGCTTATGTAATTGTTTCATCTGATCCCATCTTCTATAAAATTGAAGGCCTTTTGTGCACTTTAGTCCCATTCAACTCAACTGGGATGCACTTAAGTGCATGCTTAAGTGCTTTCCTGACTTGGAGCCTAATGACTTTAAAGATGCACAATAGTGTAAGAGTAGCTGGGATGTGCTTCTGAGTCTTTAATAATTATAAAATGTTAAGAAAAAAAATGCAGACTCTCCTGCCACGGCTATTTACACAGCATTGGAGCAGAGACCAGTTTGTAACACAAGACTATAGTATCTAGTACTAGTATCTGGATGCTTAAGATACATTTGCCTTGGTCAGCGCTCACCTTGTTCTTTTGGAGGATTGCTCTGCTCTTTTACCATACTAAACAAACTTAATATCAGTAGGCAAGGACACCTTTCTGCTGTAGCAGTTTAATTACCAGTCCCCTCCTCCTCACAAGAGAGTTCAAAATGCCCTATCGAACCTAGGGGATTAAGATTTTCAAAGGCATACATGGCAGTTAAGCACCTAACTCTCACTGACTTTCAGGCTCCTAATAATTAGGGGCACATTCTGAGTGCAGCGTACAAAGTGTTTTAGTGGCTTCATCCTCATTAGCGTTTATTGGATTTGCACAGGTAAGAACCCAATTCATCATCATCATCACCACCACTCCCATAATCGCATTGGTCATTGGGGCACCATCACTGATAATCAATTAACCTATTATCTCCACCCCTGATGATTGTGTGTCAGTGCTTGAGTCTCTGCGACGTCCATTCCTGTCTATTCTTTTATGTTGTCAATCCATCTCTTCTTCTCTCTACCTCTTCTTCTCTTCCCCTCTACTGTCCCTTGGAGGATGATCTTGGCTATAGGCCAGATGATCTTGTTACATGGCTGTACCACTTCAGCATGCGCTTCTTCATGGTCGTCAGGAGGTCTTCATATGACCCAGCGCATTGGGTGATGATATTGCAGACCTCTTCATTAGTGATGTGGTCAAAGTACAAGATGCCCAGGATTTTATGGAAGTCTCTCATCTCTACTACCTGTATTTTCCATTCAAGTTCTGCTGTAAGGGTCCATGTCTCACACGTATACAGAAAAATTGAGATGACCAGTGCATGCAGCAGTTTCAGTTTGGATTCCAGGAAGATGTTCTTATTTTTCCAAATTGGCTTTAGCTTTCCCACTGCTGCTGCTGCTTGCGCAGTTCTTGCCAGAATTTCTGCCTTTGATCCTTCATCAGTGATGACTGCCCCCAAATACTAGAACTGTTTCACTATCTCCAGCTCTTGTCCACCAACAGTGATATGTGATCCCGTCACGTTTGTTTGTCATCAGCTTGGTTTTCTCTGCACTGATTTCCATGACATATTTTGCGGAACCCAATTAAGCAAAGCATTTAAGCACACGATTATGTGCTATATATTTAAATAATTTCAGTCCCAAGAACATGCTTAAGTGCTTTGTTGAATCATTTCCTAAATCCCCAATCACAGCACTAAATTTATCTCCTTTTGACAATCAATGTGCAAAGACAGGGAAGATTTGTTTATACATAATTTTATGTGTGTTTTGTGGCTTGCAATTTTTTGTAACTGTTCTAATTTTATTAAGAAGGGGATTGATATCTGATTGTTCAGTACTAATCTTTTTCTATTAGATAACACAAAGCAGGAATGCCATTGGATACTATGTTAATATTGAAAGAATACCCAACAGTTGCAATGATCGACCCGAACGCATCAACGTAACCGAGAGAAGAGTGCATCTGAATCTCTCCATGGCTTATTATCGGTTTAATATTTCTGCCTATAATGAAGCAGGAGAATCTCCACAGATCACTTATGTTGTCCCAGATTTCACCGCAACAGGTACTTTATAACTTATTCCAGATAGGTGAAGAAACATTCTTTTGTGGGCAATGTTGCCTTGTGATAGCAACAGTTTGGGAATGATTGTTCCTCTTTATTTTTTTCTTTAAACCTGCACCAGATTAAGGACTCATGTGAAAACTGGCCAAAAAGAGCAGTTTTATGGAGCTCTATCAGAACACGTTATGTCACATGGTACTATCTATTATGAAGATTAAAGTTACTCGTATCAAATTAATGCCTGTAGGAGGAATTCAAACTGAATTCTGTGTGAGCTGATCCAAACCAAGAAATCTGAAAAATAATCTTGAAACCTGAGAGAACAGCTACATTTATTACAGCTAGGCCATTGGATTAACCACTAGCAGACTAATTTTACTGTGCATTACAAACACTGTAGTATGAGGTGGTTATAGCTGTATATGACCTGTCAGGTGCATATTTACAATTAAAAGTCATCATGATCTACTGCTACTCCATTCAGTCTTTATCTTATGTCATCTTCTGGCAAGTTGCATGTGCGCACAAATTTCCAACATGAAACTAATACGATGGTAAGAACAAAATTAAGAGAGGATGGGGAGGTCCTTCCAAAAATTAGAAGGCTTCTAAGAAATCCAGGAAATATAACTGCCACAGTACAATTTCCATGCTTTGCTAGACACTTGCTTGTATATCTCCATTCATAGTTAAAATCAATGTTCCCATGGACTGGCACCTATAGTACATTGTATTATAAATGTAATGGGTATTGTAAAGGTCAATGTTTGTCAAGTGCTTTATAGATTAAATATGTCACAAATGCTAATTGTAATTATATATTATCTCATATCATGATGACTGTGACCTCTTTCCCTCTGGCCTCCTCCCATATTGCCACTCTCCAATCCATACAAAATGCAGCTGCCAAGAATCTCTTCCTGCCCGGTTACTCTGACCATGACATCCTGTCTCATTGTCCACCAGATCATATTCAAGATTTTTGTCCTTACCTTCAAGACACTGCACAACTCTACTTCTCCCTGTCTTTATGGGTTGTCTCTTAATCCCCTCCCCACCTTCTCTTCTCCATCAACAGTGCAAGATTTAAGCACCCAGTTGCTCATTTCTCCCACAAATATATCTGCACTGTCTTCTATGCGACCCAAACTCATAGAAGGAACACTCAGAACTTAACCTCAAGACCACTCCTCTCCCCTTCTCTCTCCTAAACATTCTCTCTTTTCTGATGCCTATTAAAAAAACAAAATAACCAGTGGTGATTAGGTTTAGTGACATCTGGTTTATTAAAACTTTCAAATGGTCTAGAACCTTCTGTTGTGCAATAATTACCTTTTGTAGCTACACCTTTGTTTTCTATTACCCTTCTTGTCCTTTCCTACCCATTCCTTCTTTTGTTTGCCATACTCAATCATTGAATCTTATTCCAAACAAGATTTTAAGCACCTCAGGGAAAGGCCATGTCTTCCTATATTTTTGGGCAATGCTAAGTGTACAGGACCTGCTACAGCGGGACTAGCATTTTTCGACTGATCATATCAAAGTTATAATTAGTATTGTGACAAAGTCAGTCCTGAGAGGTATACCAGAATGGTGGAGGGCAGATATATCAGCCCTAGAATGGTAGAGGCCTGTTCTCTATGAGCTTAACAAGGGTTACCTCAGGTTAACTAGACACACTTGAGGCCAGTTAAGGGCTCACAGTGACATTTAAAAAAACCCTCCTGGTGAGAGAGGGGAGGGGAGATAAGATGCTGATTGGAAAAAGGCTTCTCCTGAGTGGAAGGCTGCGCTCCTTCCGATAGCAACCATGCTAATGGACTGTTAGGGGAAGGACTGCACCCAGAGGCCAGCATAACAATGGAACACCCCAGAGAGAGGGCATAAAAAGATATTCCCCTTTTTGTGTTATGAACTTGTTTCTTTTAAAACAAACAGAATGAAGTATTTCTTCACATAATGCACAGACAACTTTATCAGAGGATGTTATGAAGACCAAGACTATAACAGGGTTCAATTCTGAGTAGTTTGCTGAAAGACTTTCTAATTTGAGTGTAGTTATTGAAATATTAGGACAATATTATTATTGAAATATTAGGACAATGTATTGTTGTAAGGTAGAATTTCCTATGGCCTGATACTGTGTGTGAGTAACAATCAGCATCTGGGTACCTCTATCAGTCTCCAGCTGATGTGTCTGCAGTTAATGTTTCATACCTTCTCCTTTCCACCCACCACCAGAATTTTCCAATTAGTCCTGAACACAATTCTTCCCCTTCCTCCAACGTCATTGTCACCTTAGCAAATCTCTCTTCTGGTTTCTCTTATTCTTGACTTATTTAGTTCTAACCATAATTTTCCTCTACCTTTCCCTGCCACTGAGGAATATAGTATCCACCACTTCAATCTTTTCTGACTAATCCTACTGATAGTCAATGGTTTACCAAGTCTGCCCACTTAAGCGTCATGATTTTCCTTAGACATTTATTTTCAACTCTAGCCGTAGTTTCATCCTTTGTTTTCCCTAATGTGCCTAAGGTCTTGCACATCAATAAAAGCATTACTGTGATGATATAGGCATTCAGTTTGTTTCCCATGACGTTTTCTTAGACCTGGTCTACACTATGGGGTTAGATCAAATTTAGCCACATTAGGTCGATTTAAAAATGAATGCATCCACACAACCAACCCCGTTCCATCGACCTAAAGAGCTCTTAAAATCGACTTCTGTACTCCTCCCCGGTGAGGGGAGTAGTGCTAAAATTGACTTTGCTGGGTCGAATTTGGGGTAATGTGGATGCAAACTGACGGTATTGGCCTCTGGGAGCTATCGTAGAGTGCGCCATTGTGACTGCTTTGGACATCACTTTGAACTCCGATGCACTAGCCAGGTACACAGGAAAAGCCCCGGGAACTTTTGAATTTCATTTACTGCTTGGTCAGCGTGGCGAACTCAGCAGCACAAGTGACCATGCAGTCCCCCCAGAATCATAGAATGTTTCTCCCCCTATCATCTCCGTGCGTGAGGTTATCGCAGATTAGAAGGCGAAAAAAAACCGCACTCGCAATGACATGTTTTCCAAGCTCATGCAGTCCTCCTGCACTGATAGGGCACAGCTTAATGCATGGAGGCATTCAGTGGCAGAGGCCAGGAAAGAATTAAGTGAGCGCGAAGAATGGAAGCAGGACGCGATGCTGAGGGTAATGGGGGAGCAAATGGGCATGATGAAGCATCTGTTGGGGGAGCAAATGGACATGATGAAGCATCTGTTGGAACTGCAGGAAAGCCAACAAGAGCACAGACCCCTGCTGCATCCACTGTATAACCGCCTGCCCTCCTCCCCATGTTCCATAGCCTCCTCACTCAGACGCTCAAGAATGCGGTGGGGGAGGCTCCGGGCACCCAGCTACTCCACTCCAGAGGATGACCCAAGCAACAGAAGGCTGTCATTCAAACAGTTTGATTTTTAGTGTGGCTCCAATAGGCAATGTGGCCTTCTTCTTCCCTCCTCCCCCACCCCACCCAAGCTACCTTGTCCGTTCTCTCTTTTTAAAAAAAAATTAATAAAGAATGCATGGTTTCAAAACAATAGTTACTTTATTTCGAAGGGGAGAGGGTGGTTGGCTTACAGGGAATTTAAATCAACAAAGGTGGCAGGTTTGCATCAAGGAGAAACACACACAACTGTCACATCGAAGCCTGGCCAGTCATGAAACTGGTTTTCAAAGCCTCTCTGATGCGCAGTGCGCCTTGCTGTGCTCTTCTAATCGCCCTGGTGTCTGGCGTGAAATAATTGTCTGCCATTGCTTTCATGGAGGGAGGAGCGACTGACGACATGTACCCAAAACTACCCGCAACAATGTTTTTGCCCCATCAGGCAATGGGAGCTCAACCCAGAATTCCAATGGGCAGTGGAGACTGAAGGAACTGTGGGATAGCTACCCACAGTGCACTGCTCCGTAAGTTGATGCTAGCCACGGTAGTGAGGACTCACTCTGCTGACTTAATGCGCTTAGTGTGGACATACGCAACTGACTGTATAAAATCGATTTCTAAAAATTGACTTCTATAAAATCGACCTAATTTCATAGTGTAGACATACCCTTAGATCAAGTTCTCCTCAGCTAGTTTTGTCACTCTTTCATTCTTCCTTATAGCCACTCTCCTACTGTTTTTCAGATAGAAGATGAAATGGAGGTCTCGATCAACCACAATATTCCCTGATGTATAAGTTGCCCATCTTCCTTCTTAGTGTCAGCCAGTTAGTCTTGCCAATTTTGATTATTAATGACTACACTATCTAGTGTTCATTGGGAATTTTTAGATTAAATGTTTTTTTCAGTCAGAAAATGCTGATTTGTCAAAACCAAGACTTTTAGCAGAAATGTATCAATTCAAATGAAGCTTTTGTTGGGACAATTTCTCAGGCCCTGGATGGAATTTCTAGGAAAAACCAGGGAAAGAGAGACAGACACTCAGGTTCAGATCCCCACTCTGCCTAATTTGGAGCAGGGGCTTGAACCTGAGGATTCCACATCCCAGGTGACAGTGTCCTAACCACCAGAACTTTGGGTATTCTGAGGTGGAGGAGCCCAAGTCTTTCCTGTTGGAGTGATTCCAATTTGTATAGATAATTAAATATTAATTGGATATGAGTGTGAGAGAGAGAGAGAGAGACTGACTCTAGCCTGATGTTTAGAACACTCATTTGGAATGAGAAGGACTTGGGTTCCAGTTCCTGCCCCTTCTAACTTGGTGCCCTAACTACCAGGCTACAGTCAGTCTCTCTCTGGTTTTTCCACAGAGTTTCAAAACTTTGTGTCTGTTCACACAGACACAAAACTAAATGCTGAAACCCCAGCTTTTCTTGTGAAATGGAATTCTCATTTTCTAGCCAGTCCTACTATTGTCAGACTTTACATAAAGAAGAATACCACAAAAACATCTTATTTCCCTCAATCTGAAGCCATGACTGTCTCCCCCACTCAGAAATGTCTCACATAGCAGCACTCCATTCAGTACTATGTATGACTTTCCTGGGGGGAGGATTCCTGTTAAGTAAGGTGCTCCCCTTCCCAAGGTTTGAATGTTCTCTTCCCCCTTTGTAGTAAAGGCCATGTCCAGAAATCAAATGTGGATCTTCGCTAAGGCAGTGCAAAGCACTAGACTGGCTTGAAACTATTTTATAAACTATATTGTTACTAGTGATTAGAGTTCATTAAGCCTTACTACTCCCAGGGTCTCCATGACTTGCCACAGGATGCTGACTTCACAGTGAATTTTTTTTTTAAATATTTGCTTTCCTATTTATTGATCTATACAATATTTTGCTTTTCCCTCAGTTTTGCCTGAACAAATCACTGCCATACCACAGGGAAACAACACTGTTGTCACCTGGACGCCAGAATACATTCCAAAGTGTTTTGTTGTTGATTGGGGCACTGGTAAAGAAGATATGCACATGAAAATAATAACTAAGCCCATGGGAAATTTCACACTAGGTAACAATTCAACTTTCTTTCATGGATTGAACAGTTATTTTATGGGAAACATGCCTCTGTCTTGTGGTTTTTAAAACTGCAAGTGAAAGAAAGACGAAGATCCTTCCTCACACTTCTACTCTTCTTTGTTCTGTGTATATAGGGGAAAAAAATATTGAAGTACATGGGAGTTTCAGTCCTCCCTGGGAAGCCTACTGGTCATGGTCAGTGAAGAAATGCAGCTATACAAACACAGACTGTTTGTGCTATTCCCCTCCCCCAAATCCAGGATAGAGACTTATATACTGCAGGCTAACAGCATGACAATGGTGACAACATTTTGCCCTCCTAGGTAAACTTCACTTACATGACAGACAGCTGTGTCACAGGCTGCCCAGTAGATGACATTCCATCCCTTTCCCCATAACTTGTCCTTGTAAAGTCGCAATAACAAAACAAAGCTTGTTATGCAGCATATCTGAGTTATGTGCAAAGTGCTTCTGTTCAGGAACATTTTACAGGACTTGCATTCTGCATATTGACTGAGATCATACAAGTGACTCTGGCAAAGATCAATCAGGATTAATGTCAATGTACATTGGAGACATTTGATCTGAGGGTCACAATTTAAATGTTATCAATAATTCATCCACTGTTTTCATGGATCCTCTTAATATATGTGCACCCCAGTTTAAGTTCCCAGACAGAAAAAACAAAATCCATGCTTGAGCCAAGAGGCCTTCGAGCTATTTTACTTTCCTGCTTTCCACCCTGTAGCTCCATCTGTGCAACAGAAGCAGACTAGAAACCAATTTGGCATACTTTACAAACAAGGTTGTATATTAATATTTGTCATTTTAATTATGAAAAAAATCCAATATACAGGTTGTATGAGGGTGGTCTAGGAAGCCACCTGGAGAATGTGTACATTTGGACTCTGAACATGAAGACCTGAAATTTGTTAACTATATTTGGGGGGGCTATACAGAAAATCTGAAAGTTCCCTCCCCTTACCTGTTCAGCAAATACTGATTCTAACTTGATTGTTTTCCAGACCATTTACAACCATATAAATTGTACAAAATAATGGTGCATGCATCTGACATATGTGAATGTGAAAGTTTCATGAGACATGAGAGGACATTTGGAGTGACCCACTTCTACTCAGTTCAAGGAGGTATTTCCTAGAAAATCTTCATTCCCTCGCCCCGTTTGTTCCCCTCCACTTTTTCTCCTATTTCTCCACCATCAGTAATAAGGGAGCTCCACCATAACATCTTTGCTGGGATGACCTAACATAACACTACTATCCACTCAGTCATGCCCCTAACTCCAAGCTGTGATGTGCTGGCTTTGTGTGTGAGTGAATGTGATGTTGCTTGCTAGTGATGGGTCCACAGAGATGATGGGGTAACTATTACTATTCATGGCAGAGATGTTTAAGGCAATGGAGCAGGGGGTTTGTCCCTTCTTGCAGTGTGTGATTTGTGGCCAGATTCTGATACCTTTACCCACATTGACTAGCACCTTCCTAGGTGAGTAGCCATTCATGCCAATGTGACTATGGTGAGTAAGGGTATCCTTAGAAATTGTATCTGTAGCAGATGGATGATATGTCTCTACCTTCTTTGGTATTGTTTTAAGCAGGACTCAGCCTCCCACTGTATGTAATTGTTCTCTTTCCCTTCTCTGCCATTAGTTATCTGTGTGTCAGTCTGCAAATTGGGGAGATGCTTCCCATTCAGCGGTCAATTTCTATGTATGGATTAGCATGCTGCACATTGGATTACAGACAATAATTATCTGTATGATTTGAATTATTTATTTTTAAATGACCTGATGCTTAAGTTCCTAGGACAGGTCCAGCTACTGTGAAAATTTCAAATATCATGAAGCATTCCGCTATTGTGAAATGGACTGAAGTACCTGCAGAAGACTGTTTGGGCTTCCTCCAGGGATACAGAATCAACTACACAGACACAATGAAGAATCTCTCTCTGGGTAGGTCACTATGTCACATCATCATAAGACAAGACCAACATTTCCCACATAGAGCAGTAGCAATCAGACATAACTGTTGCCTACAAATTACAAGTGTTGAGCGACTTAATACCTTTAATCCATACATAGAACTTTATTCACCTTTGATTTCAGTGGCAGTTGAGTCTATCAGCAGATCAACTGCAAGTGAACATTTTAATATTCTAACTGGTTTAGACTATCCAAAGACTTCTAATGATTACAGGGTATGTTCTCAGTTTATTATGAAATGTATCTTTAAAGATTAAGCATCAGCATCACCACAGGAAGCCAAAATTCAGATCAATTTAGGCCATGAAAGAAACACTCAACATATTTTGAATTCAGAAAAATGTTCAAAGGTTCAAAGAATTACCCTCCAGTTCAATACAATTTGTTTTAGTTTACAAGTGATCAAGTTGCTGTTAAAGCTTCAGCCATTTTCATGACACTAGGTTTTAGTGTCATGGCCAAATAAAAGCTTCAAAGATGCTTAAAACTCCTGCTGCTAAAAATATAGTAGCAATTTCTGTTAAACACTGAAAGGAAGGATATGCTATCAGCAGGTTTACCACTTAGCTTAAGTTATTGTGACAATTCACACGGTTTCTGTGTTGTATTATGACTCAGCCCATCTTGTTTCTGAAGATCTCTACTGGGGGGTCAAAGATAATGCATGATTCTTATTTGCTGCTTATTAGACAAAAATTAAATATAGTCTCAACAGTTTCCTTCTCGTATTGAAAGACAGATTAGATAAGTGATCGGTTATTACCAGCTCCAAAGAATATAGTTTTCAGTTGGTTCCTAGAGGCACTATATTAATTACAAAGAAAGATTCATTAAATAGCTAATGAATGGTGGGCTGATTCCGTTTTACATGAGCTCATATCAGAGAAAATTTACAACAGATTCTCTTTTGATTGATATCCTCGCTCTTGTCTGCAGGGGAAAGATTCCAAGCTGCAAGTTACAACACATTGAGGTTTAGAACTTTAACTTTCATAGCTAGTGCAGTCTGCATATCAAGAGAGATGACAAATATTTCCTGAAAACAATAGAAGAGCAAAATAGAAGAGCCACTGGTTTCTAGAACTCAAAAAAAATCAGCCGATGGACTTAATGGATGATCAAAAAATAATCTAAACTTGGGGGATGAAATCCTGGCTTCATTGAAGTCAATGGCAAGAGTTCCATTGACTCAAAGGCAGATTTCACCCCAGGTGCCTGCTTAGAAAGTTTAGTATTTTGCAAAAACAAATCCCAGGGTTGCTTGAACTTTGTGGGCAGAAAGAGTTGAAAAACTGCTGAAGTGTAGTGACAATTCAAGTTGCTGCAACGAGAATTAACCTGACAGATGATTACTGGGTTTTCCAGAAAGGAAGGATGATAAGCTTCATTTCGCAGACTCTTTGCCTCACTCAGCTCTACGGTCACACCTTTTGCTTTCAGGAAATAGGCTATTTTCTTTAACATTAAAACTTCCATATCAAGAGTATCTAAATGCTTGGCAGCATTCTACAACATAAAAGGCATTGTTGTATTGCAAGTGAAGTTATTCTGGTGACAGCAAAACCATCCACTGCACCTTCAGAAAGGAAATATAGTTTTGAACTAAACCAAAGCAATACAGCTGTGGATCTGAACATACAGTCCTTTCTCTCACAAATACCTACCTGAGTAGTACATCACTGAAGTCAAGTAAGGTGAGTATTGCTTGATGAATGAGGATTGCTCATGTTAGTAAAAGTTGCGAGATTAGGCCCCATGCTTTGTTCCTACTATCACCTGCTTTGACAGTTACCAGGCATCTACAAGCTCTTTTGAGTCATGCATTCTACATTAGGGGTCAAATTCAGGGCCTAGACACTTAATGCAGATGTATAAGCATACTGATTAAGCAATAACCTTCAGATAAGTCCTTATTCTGACTGTCACAACAGTAGATACACAGGAAACTCACTTTCAGTGTGTTTCATACCTCTCTTCTCCCTTCCCCCCTCCCCCGCCTGCACCCGGTCTACAGAGTATACGAGCCTATCACGGCTACCCTTTAAGGGTAGCTCAAGTGGTAGAGGTTTATGCTTTTAGCTCTTGAGATCTTGGGTTAAATACCCAGGCAATTACCTATACTGGAAGTTTATGGCACACCATCTTCAGATAGCCATACACTGAGATTACTTGTTCCAGGATACTGATTAATTTCAAGAAGAGAGGATACATAGTGAGTCCCAATCCCAGCATCCGCCATAGAATGCTTCCTCCTTTGGCACCAAGCATCGAAGGTCTGCAGAGTACGGTTTCCTACAGGTTTGGGATGAGGGCATGAAGTTAGGCCTCTTCTCAGCTACAGCTTTATGGGCTTGTTCCTATGTACAGCTTGAATTTGGCTACTTTTGCTGATCCCTCACCCTCTTGTGTTGCAGCTGTTGCTGTCAATTCTTCTACCACCTGCTACCTGTTAACCGGACTTAAAGAAAAAACTACCTATAAAGTACAAATTTCAGGAGTCACCACTGCAGGAGAAGGAGCCCAAAGTCGTTCACAGTTTTTCACTACTCTGAAATATGGTACCGTGAAGTTCTTTGTGTGACTGTGCTGTGCTGCATTGATTCATACCATAAAAATGGGTTGTGGTATTTTATTCCAAAACCTCAGTCCTGGGCAATATTAGCCATGAGTAGAACAACCTGTAAAACTGAAAGACAGAGCTAGGGAAAGGGTGACATTCCCCTACAGCTTTTTGCCTCTTTGACCTGAAGGAGGGGTAAACATGATAGACTCCCATGAACTCTCTTCAGCAGACAAGCAATGAGGGAGGCCTATAATTTCATTCCGGTCAGTTTTTGTACAGTGCAAAAACAAACAAATAAACCCACACACCTAGGGCTTGAAGCAGACAGAAATGGGAAAGGAATTCCCCTGCAAACATGAAATGGTTCATCATCAACTTAAACCAACTTTCATATGAGAACACTTGGATATAAATTGGCCATGAATAAATTTTAGGCTGGAAGTTAGAAAAAGGTTTCTATAAACCCTCAGAAGAGTGAGGTTTCAGAACAGCCTCCCGACAGGAATAGTGGGGGGCAAACAACCTAACTAGTTTTAAGAATGAACTAGATACATTTTAGTGGGATTTAATGACTGGGTTGCTTGGGAGGAGGGGTAGGCTGGGCTTGGTGGCCCAAAGGGTTCCTTTTGGGTTAGTTTTATGTTCCTAAAGCTCATGCAGGACTTTAGCTGGTCAGCTGTAGATGTCAGGAAGGAATTCCTTCCTTCCCACCCATCCCTGGCATAATCAGAGTTTTTTCCCCTCCCTCTTCCGATGCTTCAGAGATAACTATGCCCAGATGGGACTCTGGAAAAGGTGGGCTAGTGCGCTGAGGCTGTGTAGAGAATTTTCTTTACCGTTCACTTGGCTGGTGGGTCTTCCTCACATGCTCCGGGTCACTGATTGCCAGATTTGGGGTCAGGAAGGAATTTCTCCCCCAGGTCATGTTGGCAGGGAACCTGGGGTAGGGGGTTGGTTTGATTTGGGTTTTCGCCTTCCTCTGCAGCATGGGGCACAGGTTCCTTGCTAGAATCGTCTGGATATATCTCACCAAATCTGGATATCTCTCACCAAATCAATTCCCTGCCATTGCAGGGGCTTCGGACATTGGTTTGCCTCAGTCCCTTGTACTCTCTACCTGTGGCACATAATAGTTTAGTCTCCTGAGGGCTGTATTACATTAGTTTAATCGCTAGGTTATTAGGTTCAATGTAGGGATAACTGGGTGGGTTTCTGTAGCTCATAATGTTCAGGAGATCATAGTACATGATCTGCCGGTCGCTTCTAGCCTTAAAAAACTGTGACATGCTGCTGCCAAGGAATCAGGCTTGGTACAATCAGTGAGTAAAACAAAGACACACTGTTTGTATCAGATTCTATTTGCACTAACTTTCAAATGAATTTGACCGGTTACTGACATGGCTGGTTAAAAAAAAACAAATTTTGTAAAGAGAAAAACTCAGCGTTTTTATTTTGAAGTGTTCATTTTTTCAAAGTTTCACAGTTTACTCATTTAAAAATTTGGAAAATTATCAAAATGGATGATGTATTGTTTACCAAAATCCTTTTTTTGGAACTAAAAAAATTTACAATACCTATTTAAAAAAAAGAATTCAGCCAGCTTTATTGCAAGTGTTGTTTGTGTCCACACAAAACTTAGTTAATACTCAGTTCTAATCATGCATTGACCACGTCAACAACATAGGCTAGCATATGATTATCTTCCAGTAGCTAGGCTAAAATGCTGTTGGTTTTGCTGAGTATACAGGACTCTCTACCTGCCATCTAAGTAACCAAGATGACATGTACTTCCTTACAGCTCTGTGCTGATGGTGGTCTTTGTGCATCTCCTGTGGGCACTCAGAAAGGGGGCAGAAAGCGAGAAAGAAAGGGGTCTCTAGCAATACTTTCCCAGAACTTGTTGATGCAAATAATGGTAGGCCGTGTAGTAGGTGTAGTTGCACAGCCACAGTTGACATGGTTGTGTTGTGAATAAAGCTGCCTTTTTGTTGTAACCAGGTCAAATTAGCAGGTCATCAGCTGATTACAGAATCAAAGTTATAGTTATAGGGGACAAAAGAGAAGATCCTTGGACCAAAACGGCTCCTGGTTTAATTTAGGGCTACTTTAAATTATGCTGGTTGAAGCAATCTCATAATCTGGGGTTACAGATCTGGCCCATATCTTAGATGGGGCCTTACAAGACAGAATACTCCCTACTCCACCCACTTTTTATATAGCTCCTTTCTATGGTCAGTGTGTGGATTTAAAGATTTATCATTCAGTCATGTGTGGAACTTGAAATTAGTTTTATATTGATTTGATTGTGACTAAGCTCACAGGGATCCCATGCTATAACTGTGAGGTTTATGCTTTGTGCAAAGATAATTCCATTTCGTTCCAGTCTCTCAAAACCTGGTCCCATAAGTGATTTTCTTCTCTATTTATCTCCCATCAGATAAAGGGGAATTTGAAGGTATTGTTGCTGCCCTTTGTCTTGGCATCATATCCACCATGTTTTTTCTACCCATCATTTGTTCTTTGATGCTTAGAAGGTAAGAGGGTAATATTAATTGGGCTATTGCACAGCATAAGTACATTTTACTGACCTTGCACATTCTGTAGTGTTGAGTCATGTCTTATTTTTGCACAATTGGTCTTTCTAATTTGAAATTAGAAATGACAAATCCTTATGAGACAGGATGCAAAAAAGCAAGTTATACTGATAATTTACACAATACTTGTGGTTTTGGAACAGTATTAACAAACCAAGAATGTGCAAGCTACAGATGACTAAAGAGGCTTCTTTGCCACAAACTCAGAATGTTTTAGTCTTTGATACAGCTGCCAGTCCAGTTACAATCTCAGACATCAGTGGGATAAGTATGTAATACTTCCTACTGTCCCAAAAATAGATAAAAGTTCTTATGCAAGGAATAATTGTCAAATTGATTATTATGGCCCATATTTCCTGATGGACTGGGATCATCCATTTCCTATTACAGTAGGACTGTGGATTGATTGTTCAGTGCCATGTACAGATGGATATAATTTAGAAAGCCCAGCTAGCCTAGTAGTGCATCAACTCCCACTAGTGCACATCTGGGACATAATCTCGTACCACCCCCAACATTATGTTAAATGAGTGAAGAGGAAACAATGAGGGGAAGAAGACAGGGATAACAACACACCTGTTGAGATGTGATGGTGGTTTTTCCCATTTTGTGAGGAACTACTTTCTATAGTGGAAGAATGTTGCATAACATCCCCTCCCCCCGAGAACTGTCTTTTTAAAATATTATTTTTACAAAATGTAAACTGAAGGAGCTATAATCTAATAAATAATAATAATAATAATAATAATAAACCATGACTGGTTGCACATTAGTAAACTATTGTTGTGCATCTGAAAATGCACCAATAGTTTACTAATACAAAACCTGTCATCGATTACGATAAGGAAACCCTGGAACCCTGCCCCCATCTCTGTTTTCTCTGCTTTAACTACTTCTCCTGTCATTATCTGACTTGACTGGTGCTGAGTGACTAGAGCAGACAAGATGTCAAAACCATGGCCCTAAGGTCAAATATGGTCCATGGCATGATTTATTCTGGTCTACTGCTCCATCACAACCCTTCTCCCTGCAGCAACTACTCATCCTTGCTGGCCTCTCTCTGGCTTATTGCTACTTTCAGAATGAATTTGAGGCTCATTGGTATCTGTTCTGTAGCCGGAGGGGACAGCTTAAGTTTGTGTAGGCCAGAATCAGGGCACTGGGAAATAGTGTGTCAAATCATGTGAACATGATTTCCAGTTTGGAGCATTCCAAAGTTAAAAAAAAAAAACCCTAGAAGAGTGACCCTGCCCTTTGCATGGGGGGGGGAAATATATATATATATATAAAAACATGTTTAAGATTCCGGAAACCTACATAACAGTAGTTTCTGTTGTTTCTGACAGGATATTTTTGGAGGGTGGGAGTGGGGGGCAGGGTGGAGGTCTAAGAAAATGAATTCACTCAGTCACACGAGCTACACTGATTTCATAAAAAGTGCATCTAAAGGGAGAGCAGACAGAGAGCTTGAACTCCTTCAGTGACTCCAGGAAGGCTCTCAGCTCACGAGAGCAGTCAGAAAATGTTTATACATCCAACAAAATACAATCTAGCTTTGACTTACTGCACTGATAATATTAAAGTGAATAATTTAAAAAAAAACACATACAAAGTGCTATTGTGCCGATTTCATATGCAGAGAGAATTGAGGCCAGGAGATTCTCAATAGTGGACAAGTTAAATTAATTCTACTCACACTGACTTCAATAGGAGCAGAGTTAGGCCAACATTAATTGCTTTTGAAATTCCTTCCCTGCTTCCACATTTTGCTCTCCGCCATTTCCACTGGAAAATAATTGCCAGGAGCTCCGTTATTGTTATGGCAGTGCCAAACTAATCAAGATGGAGCCTTGTGTTGCTCGGAGCTATATGGAGGTAGTCTCAGTCCCTGTTCTGAGAAGCTTACAGTCTAGGATGACCCATATGAAAGTTGGGATGGGAGGGGTGATGACATTCTAGGATGTAACTTTTATATACATATTGTAATAGAGACTTACCCAATCTGGCTCTGGGCTGGTCTCCTGCCTCAGTTTCCCCTTGCCTGGAAATGGCTCTTTCTGCCTTCGCCTTCTGGTCAAGTCAAAAGTCCACCCCTTCCGGAGTATAAGCCAAGTCCAAACACACACAAGTCTTCCATGCCAGACTCACCTGACACAGTCCTTCTATCAAGGGTTCATCTTCTCTTCCACACCACACGCATTCAGCATTACCCTTCTCCTGGGCTCAGCTGTAGCCTTCCTGGGCTCTAGTCTGTCCTTTCATCCACCCTTCATTCACAGAGTTCACTGCATCACCTCAACAGGTGGCAGTTTAAAAAAAAAGTCACTCCTGGCTTCCCTTAATAGTTTGGGTGCGGGAGGGGACTCCAGGCTGGGGCAGGGGGTTGGGGTATGGGAGGGTGTTTGGGGTCTTGGCAGCGCTTACCGTGGCTCCCGGAAGCGGCCGCTAGGTCCCTGCAGCCCCCAGATGCATGGGCGGCCAGGGAGGCTCCGCGTGCTGCCTACGCACCCGCAGGCGCCATCCCCACCGTTTCTACTGGTTGTGGTTCCTGGCCAATGGAAGCTGTGGAACCTCCCTAGCCGTCCACGCATCTAGGGGCTGCAGGGACCTGGCAGCCGCTTCCAGGAGCCACACAGAGCTAGGGCAGACAGGGAGCCTGCCTTAGCCCTGGGCCCCCGCTGCACCGCCGACTGGACTTTTAATGGCCCAGTCGGCAGTTCCGACCGGAGTTGCCAGGCATTCCAGTTGAAAACCGGATGCCTGGCAATCCTAGTGAGCCAAGAATGGCACAGATGCATCTGAGCCCCAACCCTCTTAAAGGCCCAGCTCACTCTGTGGCATGTATATTTATTTCCATTTTAGATTAGTTTTGTATTTATATAAAATAGTATCACTTTTCCCCATCTGCCTCTCAGTTTAACCATCAAATACTGTCTGATTTCTTGTCGGTCTGGAGGCTTAGTTTGAACACATACATGGTAAAGTTAGCCAGAGTTAGAGGTGGATAGCTTAGTAGGGCTTTTGAAAGCTTGTTATTTCTCAGGCCCCAAGTTCAATAAGAGATTATAAACCACTGAGAGATGGTATTCATGAAGGCCCTCAGCTGAAACTAATTTGAACAAGGCTCATTAATTTGGTTTTACCTTGGAAAAGCACCACAGTTTTTCTCCCACCACTAATCCTAGTAGGATTTAAGCACAGAGGCAGACATACTATCTGAGCCCTGAAAAATGCAGCTAGAATTTGGATTTTATATCAAGTCTGCATGAGGAAGTACCTATTGCTCTACAGCTAGTTCACTGAATACCACGTCTGATCCTTCAGTCAAGATAGGTGGAGCTCCCATTGTGTCTGAGTCCTAAGCAAGGGGTGACATGGGCTAATATGCTAAGATAGCTCTGCTGCACTCTGCCTTCCAGTCCCTAGGCCTCCACAGGTTTGTAGCATCATGGGGGAGGAGCAGATGCTTGCTTTTGGGGGATGGGCAGATTTCTAAATGGAAATCTATCTATAAGTTGCTACTGGTAAAACAAGCCTAACCTGCAAGGGAGGAAAGGGGGTTGGAGGAGCCATGAAATAGTGGTGGATTAAAGAAAGAGAAAGCTGATATGTAGTATAGATGGGAAGAGAGTCACATGCTGATGGCCTTCATAGCTCTTGTTAATTACACTAAATAATTGTGCATCAGAAACTCACTAACTTACTGTGAAAATATGGACTATAGTTTTGGACCTCTAATTTTTGTGTGTCTTGTTAATAGCTGCTATAAGACATCCTGGTCTGATGTGCATGAAAACACTGATAAACTATGTACATGACTTGTGATGAAAACAGAAGTATATGAAGGCTCAGTTATTTAATTGGCTCCTCAGTTTAATAAGCATGTCTTTCCAGGTCAAGAAAATTGTGCTGGCCAACTTTACCAAGTCCAAGAGAGAGCAGCGCTATCCAAGATGTGGCAAGAATCATTCCACGGGTATGAAAAGTGTTTATGAATGGGCCCTTTCAGTGAATTACAGCAGCACTGATTACTAGCATCTTCTCTTTTTAATTGTGCCTGGTAAATGTACAGCATTAAAGATCTAGCTGAAGCTCTGATAGTATTAGGAATGTAGTGTCAGGCTTTTACAAGGGGATTTCCTACTCCGTTTTAAAAAGGTTTTATTGATTTTTCCCCCCCAAGCATTATGCAATATGCACTAAGGCAAATGTGTGAAAAACAAAGACAAAACCATGAAGTAACTCAAAAGGGGGTGGGTGGGAGTTACATTTTTTTGACTTAAACAAAGTCCATTATGTAAGAGTCAATAATCACCAGGATTGATGGTTACTTGAGAAATCCAGAGTGTGAAAGTTCATGTGAATCTGGAATTGTTCAAATCCACAATTAATAGAATCCCCAAATATATGAAAGTTAGATAAAATATTTTGATCCAAATTCACAACTGCATCACAAAGGAGCTGGTTTCTGCTATCTGATTCTGGGACCAGTTCTTCACTGACCTCAGCTTCAGCACACTTTTGAGGGCTTTGGGGTTGCTCTAACTAGACAGAGAGTAATCGCAGCAAGAGATTGTCTACCAACCAAGTATTGCCAGAACTCAGTAGGGTGCTCAAGTCATGCCCTTTCTCTATCTACACATGCCTACCATATGCCATCTGCTGGGGCAGGGGCCAGAGGAGCTGGCTACATCAGTTCTGTGTCAGCAAATTGCTAGCTAGAAAGATCCATTCTTCAGGGTTTAAGAAATCTCTAGCTTGTATGCTGTCAGGTTTCTTGCACCTTCCTGTGAAGCATCCGGTGCTGGCCAATGTCTAAGCTAGGATACTGGACTAGAAGCACCATAGGTCTGATCTAGTATGGCAGTGTTTATGATCATATCCTACTGTGTTCCATAGCAGAGTGGATCTGATCCTTTCTTGTTTTGTTTTTTTTGTTGTTTTTAACACTTCCAGATTTTTACAAAGTACAAGTAGATAAAGTAGCATGTTCATGGTCAGTTAGAACCATAGAAGATTAGGTTTGGAAGAGACCTCAGGAGGACATCTAGTCCAACCCCCTGCTTAAAGCAGGACCAACCCCAACTAAATCATCCCAGCCAGGGCTTTGTCAAGATGGGCCTTCAAATCCTCTAAGAATGGAGATTGCACCACTTTCTAGGTAACCCATTCCAGTGCTTCACCACCCTCCTAGTGAAATAGTTTTCCTAATATCCAACCTAGACCTCCCCCACTGCAACTTGAGACCATTGCTACTTGTTCTGTCATCTGCCACCCCTGAGAACACCCTAGCTCCATCCTCTTTGGAGCCCCCCTTCAGGTAGTTGAAGGCTGCTATCAAATCCCCCCTCACTCTTCTCTTCTGCAGACTAAATAAGACCAGATCCCTCAGCCTCTCCTCGTAAGTCATGTGCCCAGCCCCCTAATCATTTTTGTTGCCCTCCGCTGTACTCTCTCCAAATTTGTCCACATCCTTTCTGTAGTGGGGGGCCCAAAACTGGAAGCAATACTCCAGATGTCGCCTCACCCGTGCCGAATAAAGGGGAATAATCACTTCCCTCAATCTACTGGCAGTGTTCCCACTAATACAGCCCAATATACTGTTAGGCTTCTTGGCAACAAGGACACGCTGGTGACTCATATCCAGCTTCTCATCCACTGTAATCCCCAGGTCTTTTTCTGCAGAACTGCCGCTTAGCCAGTCGGTCCCCAGCCTGTAGCAACGCATGGGATTCTTCCATCCTAAGTGCAGGACTCTGCACTTGTCCTTGTTGAACCTCATCAGATTTCTTTTGGCCCAATCCTCCAATTTATCTAGGTCCCTCTGTATCCTATCCCTACCCTCCAGTGTATCTACCTCCCCGCACCTCAGCTTAGTGTCATCCACAAACTTGCTGAGGGTGCAATCCATCCCATCATCCAGATCATTAATGAAGCTGTTGAACAAAACCGGCCCCAGGACCGACCCATGGGGCACTCCGCTTGATACCGGCTGCTAACTAGACATCGAGCTGTTGATCACTACCCACTGAGCCCGACAATCTAGCCAGCTTTCTATCCACCTTATAGTCCATTCATCCAATCCATACTTTTTTACCTTGCTGGCAAGAATACTGTGGGAGACCATATCAAAAGCTTTGCTAAAGTCAAGATATATCACATCCACCACTTTCCCCATATCCACAGAGTCAGTTATCTCATCAGAGAAGGCAATCAGGTTGATCAGGCATAACTTGCCCTTGGTGAATCCATGTTGATTTTTCCTGATCAACTTCTTCTCCTCCAAGTGCTTCAAAATGGATTCCTTGAGGACCCGCTCCATGGTTTTTCCCCACCAGAATCACTTTAAGGGACAATTATGGAGTAACTTAACCACAGGAAAGTTTTTGTTCCTAACCTCAGACTGCTAGAGGATGCCTTATGCCAGGAAACAGGCAGATTTAATGCCACTTATATTTGTAAGGTTACAAAAATGATATTATATGGGATCAATATAATATATAATTTTTTTTATCTTGGAAGACTCTAACTCAATGTTATCTTGTAGCAATGAGTTCCACAGATAACTATGCATGGTGTAAAAAAACAAAAGCATTTCCTTTTATCACTTTTAAGTTCGCCTTTCTATTTCACTGGATGTACCTTTGTTCTTGCATAATGCATAATGAGGGAAGTCTGAAGTCTGTTCTTACTGCTTTTCAGATTCAGTTAAACAGACTCGGTTAAACAGTCTTCATTTTCTCTTCATCTCACTCGTATGTGTATTGCCATTGAAGTCAGTAGGGCTATACACATAAGCAAGATGATCAGGATTTTGCACTAGTTCATCAACCTGCAGGCGATATATATATATATATATATATATGTGCATGCTACTCCTGCGTGACTGCACACCTGTAGAAAACGCCCACCCGCCTCCCCCCGCAGAATTTATGTGCTTCCCTGAAGAAAATGGCAGGGAATTAAAAGAAAGCCACGTGGGGGTGGGGAGGGGGGGAAATGACCATGGGTGCAGTTTGGGGGGCAAGGCATGGAGGGGAACATGGGATTAAGTGCCACTGCCCCGCCTCATTTCTGTCCAGCTGAAGGAGGCTACCTCTCAGCTTTGCCGACTCTGCAGCTGAAAGCTGCCTCCTGAGTCCTAGTGCCAGTCATGCTCCATTCCTCTTCTGTGTGCTGGTAGTCTTCCTGTTTTCTGTGCAACAGTGAGTGCCCGCAGTAGGGCTGGGTAAGGGGGGTTGGGCAAAGAGGTAGTGGGGAAGGAAGTGGGGTGGGAATAGGGCAGGGGGTGGGGGCAGAAAAGGGGAATCATGGGGGGAAGCAGGAGCCCGGCATGCGGCATCCCCTTGGCAGCAGCTGGGACTCTCCCATTAAGCAGGCCCATCACACCCTCACCCTGATAAGCCCTATCCCCCTACACCTGGACCCCTCTGATGAGCCTCCCACCCCACTGATCCCCAACCAGCTGCACCTGGATTTCCACCCCCATCAAGCCCCACTTCCCCAGCACCCAGACCTCCCACTGAGTCCCCCTACACCCAGACCCCCCTTGCTGAGCCCCATCTCCCCACAACCCCTTGCTAAGCCCCAACTACCTTCACCTGGATCCCCTGAAGAGTCCCATTGCCCCTGCACCTGGAACCCCGCAATGGGCCCCTGTGAATCCAGATCTCCTACTGAGCTGTCCGCACATAGATTGCCCCATACAGAAACCTCCCACCCCACACCTGGATCCCTCCACACTAGGATCCTGCTAGGCTGAGCCAGCCACCCATACCTGGTGCATCTGGCGCAGAGGGGCAGGGCCCCGGGGTGTTTCTGGGGCAGACGTGACCCTTGCACTGTGTCAGGGTTGGGTGCAGCCTCACTTGTGAGTCCCTCTACCGAGGTAGGTGGGAGCTTCAGGGTAATCTCCCACCTCCATGCAGCCAGTGGCCTGTGCTCCTCACTGCCATGCCGGAGCCACATTTATTTATTGATCAATACAATTTGCAGAATTTTTAAATATTGTGTGCATAATTTTGAATATTTTGGCACAGAGTAGAGTAATAATATGCAGCTCATGCTTCTTCCTCATATGTTAATGCATCTTCCAGTTAGGAATTTGTGGAAAGCTTATTCTGGACTCATAAGGTAGAGTGGTACAGCTGTTATCCAGTTGTCACCACTGGTGTATGTCAGACCATTCCATAAACCATGGAATATCATCAGTGCCTGAATATGCAATCTCAGTTTTCAGAGATGCAGAAATCTTGTAGATTAGCTGGGTCCAACAAAAATACACACACAATATGCAGGTCTTTATTCAAAACAGGACAGATTCTGAATGTGCTGAGGTACCTGCTGAACCAACTACCACTGCTGGTAAGAAAAACCTTGACATTTTATGTAGGACTGGTGAGGTTTCATAGAAAGCTAAGCCCTGGCTGGGTGAATGGCCCAAAGTAGCAGTCATTCTTCCGCTCTTGAATGGGAATCAGAAAGAATGAATGAAATACAATCAAATCTTGATAATTTCTCAGGTCATCAATGCTGTAATTCACCTGTTCCACTTAAAATAAATGAAGAGGGAAGCAGTTACTGGTGGGTCAGAGAACATGACATCCAGTCTGTAATTTAAGATAGATAATGGAAAAACCAAGGCAGTGTCACCAGAAAGGAAGGATGCTATTTATGGACTCTAAAAAGCCTTTCCATTCTGTGTGTTTTGTGATAGTTTCTATGGCTCTAACAGGACACACACATTTCTAAGCAGGTAGTACTTGGCTTTACATCACACGCTGCTCTGCAGTTTAGCCAGCCAAAATATACACAATCTTTACCTAGACCAAAGCGATAGAGAAGTGAATGGAAGGCACTGCAGATGGACGTTGATATCAAAGGGTAGTTAGGCAGGGTATCAAAGGGTAGTTCAATTCAACCTGTTAAATGTTGATATCAGCATGCGAATCACACATATCGATAGTTATAGGGCCCTGCAATATACATTTTATTAGTTATGTGTTACCTACTTCACCTCACGTTAACAATGAAGAGATGGAGAATATGGTCCTCTTGGGCAGAAATATTTATTTCCTTAATTAAGTTCCTCATACGGATGCACATTGTAAATGGAATTTAAAGATTAAATAAAATAGCTTGGCCAGCTTGATTAAACAAGAAAGTAATAGCTGCGGCCATGCTGCCCATTAACTGACTGTTTTTCTGTTGCTCAGTATTGGTAAATTATTTATTTCAATATTGTAAGTTTACACTATGTGCAGAAACATGCAATTATTTTTTTCTTTCCATTTCATCTTGTTTGTAGGCTAACCAGGGACCCACTTCAAGGCTGTTGCTTCAAACACAAACAGACAATGATACTACCAGCCTTCATGTGATAGAAGAGGATTCAAAGGCTTCTTTGAAGCTGCAGCCCTTTATTGAGGACACAGAAGACAACAGTGAGTGTGATGCAGGCCAGTCTGAAAGTGCTAGTGGTAGCCCAGACATCTGTCCAAGTCTTTTGAAAATCCCTAAAAAAGCAACTGCAACCGAAAAAGAAAGAGTCAGCTCTAGCATGAGGGCACCTCTTCTGAGTGATTACACCAGCATGGAATTCAGTCAGAAAGCCATGCTAAGTCTGGCGCTGAATCTCCCTCCATGGGCTGCCCATCCTCATATGGAGGGGAAACTGAACAACAGGCCAGGAAAAGTGGAGCAACACACACTGTTTACGCCTCAAGACTATGTGAAACAGAGCCAGGTGGTGTTTACGCCAACTGGACCAACACTGATGGAAGAAACCAGTTTGAGCTGAGGTGTCTTAATGCCTCTCTGTGACATAGGATCAAGCCCCAAAACCTTTGATGCTTGATCGGAGCAGTTACGATATTGTAGGATGGTGATTCTGTGAATGTTGACGCTTCTTTGCTTTAATAAGTTCCACAGCTAAAGTAGTTTGTGTGTATAGTTACATTAGCCATTTCAGGCCCTTGCTCTTACCACAAATCATGCTCAACTAACTCTTCCAGGCATGACATGGACAAAGCTCCAGTTTGGGTCCTCAAAAGATTTTCCATCTGGATATGGCTCCTTGCTACTTTGAGTCTGATTATTTGTCAGTGTTAATGTAGTAAATGCAATGTGGTCTCGTGACTCAACTGGAGCACTGGTAGACAAGACCCCTTGATTCTAGGCCCAGCCTTGTTTTTGGTTTGCTGTAAGCAAGTCAAAATCTCCAAAAGTGGCATCTAATTTTGGGTGAGCAATTTGAGATAACTAAGATCTGCTTTTCAGAGCTGGTTAACAAACCCCATCAATCTGTTGGAAAGGAATCCAACCAACTTGTCTGTCTTTTGCATTTTGGGGCATTGTGGCAACTTTCTCAACGAGGTTCCTGTTCATTCCTTCCAAAAGATGTTCCTGATCATTGTGTGCTGGTCATTGTGAAGGGTACAGAAAATCCTCAATAGCGGGAGAGCACGCTTTCAGCCATATCACACTAGGCTCTGATAGTCTTGGCTCTCACAAGCCAGGCACGGAATTTGCTCAGTATATGGATGAGACCTCTTCAATGAAAACCTAAGTGGTTACTGTAAGTGATGTTAGTGAGTCAGACTCTTTGAGTCAATGATATATCAACCTCCCAGGCAGATGTTTCGCTGGTAGAGGTGGCATCTTTAGGATGAGAAGGAAAGGGAAAAAAAGCCCTCATGGCCATTGGAGACCCCGTGACACTTTCTGCAAGAGTGGGAATATTTGCTAGATAACTTAGCCAAACTCAGGAGGAGGAGGAAATGATTCCCCTGAGTTTAGCACTTCACATTGATAAAGCACCTTACAGCCTGAAGTAGTGGTGCTATTGTGGGTGTGTTCCCCCTTTTGACTCAAGCAGCAAATCAAAGTTCAAGGCCCGTGGGTTGTTTCTACTAGGAAGAGAAAATAATAGAGGCAGGTATTTCTTTGATGCAATCCTGTTTATGTATACAGAATGTACAAAGTCCAGTTTCCATGAACAAAGGAGGAAGCAACAACAGAAGACAGCATCCTTTCTTTCATCTCATTCTTTCGAGAAGTCTGAAGGAATGCCTAACATAGTGAATGCTAATGGGAAGGGGGTAGGTTTAGCGGATAAAATAAAAAAAGAACCAGTTAAAAATCCCCTAGAA